CAAAACCTTGGGAACGGGACAAAAGGACTTTCTAGTTTAGGCGCGGCTGAACCTCTACATCCAGTATTGCTTCACTGAATGCAGTATGTTGCAAGAGGGTAATATAAATTCCATCCTGCGTGATCAGGCAGACCTCTGGGTCTTATTTTTGTATCTTGGTTATTTGGTTTATCTTCGGAACTGCTCTGATACAAATACATGGAGATTTGTTGTGAGTGATCACAGGTTTCAAAGATAGTAAAGTATAACCTCAAAGTCATGCTAGCTGGACTCCCAGGACACTACCTTGGCAAGTTGTTCAAGGTACAGCTATGGCAGACTCCTAAAGGCACACCTGAACTAAATAAGGAAAGTTCTTAACACTGGAAGTTCTGAAGTTCTTATTTTTCCCTGTGAAATGCAAAATTTTTCATTTGTGACTTACTCTAAATCTTAACAAACTAACAGTGCTGTATGCTTTTGATAAGTGTGCTTAATACCAATTTCATCATTTACCTAACAGAATACCAGGGAAATAGACATAGTTCTAGATATATGTTCTTCATATCCTAACCTTTGGGATCCATTCTGTTCTGTGCAATCTAATTCCTGCACACACAAGCATATCCCTGTACAAACAGGACTTTCTACTCAGAACTGTACTTATTGAAAGAGCCCTTCTTAAAGAACTAGCTTTCCTTGTGGAGCGATCTTTAGTGTTGGCCAGCTCTCACCTATTTTGCTACACGTGCTCTATTAGGCAGGCAGTGTTCATGAGCACTCCATCCAAGCCAGAAACAGGAACCCTGCACTGTACGCCCCGTAGTGCTGCGGTACGGCGTGCAACCAGTCGGATCACTGCCTTACTGATCAGGTCCTGCCTTCTGACTCTCCAAATTACTTCAACAAAAAGAAATACAGTACGTTCAGTAAATTGTATTTGGTTTGTCTCCATCTGTGTAGTATGAAGTCTACACTAAACAAGGTTACATCAACTGTCTTGTAAAGTATGTCTTATAGAAATATTTTTAGCTGAAGAAGTGCCAGTTATATTCTACAGTTACAACTGAACTCTAAGGGTTTTACCTGTAGCACTAGAACCTGACAGCAACTACCTTCCATGGCTCGTGAAACGCTGACCTCTCCCCCAGTTTCTTAGTTTAAAGAAGTCTCCATCTCCTGATACTGTTATCACTGCACTCGTCTTCAGCTACTTCTCTACTCCTTATACATGCAACTTCACTTTCAGCTGCTCATAGACTGAACTCTAATCTCTTTCCAGAGATTTTCTTCATCACTAATGGAAATATCACACCCATCCTCATTAATCTCACATCTCAGTGGACGCCTTTGGGTAGCAAGGAGTTTGCCTCCACAAGGAAATGATGCCTGGGTGATGTGGGATCTGCATTAAGGCAAGGGAGAACCAAAGTAAAATATCAGCTAGGACTACAACCACAGGACTTGGTCAGAAAAAAGCTCCTTTAACTACACCCAGAAGTTAATAAAAGCTGCCTCACAAGGCATACTTACAGGCTAATGAAAGTCCCTATCAAAAACAAAGCCAAAACCAAAGTTTTAACACTATAGTGAAATCTCATTGCATAGCTGTCCATTGCTAACAGAAAATGAAATGGAATCATGTATGCTCCAATCAAGATGCTCAGAAGGAAGCAAAACCCTTCATTACTTTCATCTAGCTGACAAGAAAACAACACAGGCCAGCAAAAAAGGCACAGCAGGCTTGTTTGCCCCATGCCTTGAAGAGCAGGCTATCACGGATTCCTTCCTTCTGTTCATCGCGCTCACTGGAGTCAGTCAGGGGAGGTAACACAGACATTCAGTGAGGAATATACATCAGGAACAAATGAGAACACCTTAGATAACCTTCTGTTCTTTAGGACACTTCTCCAGCATACTTTCTTCATTAGCAGTCATGATGTCTGGACTTCATTTTGACTTCCAAACTGAAATGCTCATCCCTAGCATTCTGGTGTTCAAGGGTGCCTCACAGAAGCAACCATTGAGTGCTGAGTAGGAGGCACTGCCTAGACAAATACACAAACAGAAATGAAACACACTTGCCAAACTCCTTGTGCTGGTGGTATTGGCAGCATGAATAAACTCAGCATCTTTCCTGTGAATGAAACAGTCACAGAATGTACAAACAAACAGTCACTATGTGTGTAACCATGGTTCAGTGAATTTTCTCAAATCCCACGGGGATTTCCTGACTTCCTGCTTCACAGCCAACTACCTTTGCTAGGGTAAAAATCATACAATCATGCTTTACAAAGGCTGTTGAACATAGGTCAGTTGTGAAGGAAGGTTACATTACTTGTCAGATTATCACAAATACTGGCAAGCACAGTTTCATTTCCTCGGCAGTGGAGAGTTGCAATTCCACCTAAATTGAGATATCAAGCTGTTCTTGGTCCTATACACATTAATGGGTTAACAACAGCTATGAAAGGTTCAGCTTTTCCACCAATATCAGCATAACGCTGGTAGCACAAACAGACTACCAGTACATTGCAGCAGCATTAAGAGAGATTTTGAAGCCATTTAGATGACACAGTGCATAAAGTGATCACAGCTGCCAGCTCTACAATAACATTCCCCAGACTGCCAACATACTGCAAAACACTGTAGGAAATATTACTGGTGCATGTGGAGCCCCTGACATCACCTAGAACAGACCAGCAAGAATAATCACTTTGGTTTCTCTTGCCAAAGGACAGAAACAGTTACAAAAGATTTTACAGCATGGGGCTTTTTCCTAGGAATAGTGATAAAAGAGTCACATATGACCAAGTCCATTCCATGCCTTTTTTCATTCCAGTGGCTCAGAACACAAACAGTCCCATGGTCTCCTGACCTCTGCTGAAGTAGTGGGGAGGCTCACACCTCACTACCTGCCTGAGGCTCATAGGCATAATTCTGAAAGTCTCAGGAATCTGACCTAGCACCAGCTAAGCTTACTCTCAATGCCAGATTCCTGTGTCAAACTAACAGGCTACTAACCACAAACCAGAAAGATAGCTCCTTTTTGTTTAGTATCATGCAACCTCTGAAAACAAACAGAAGTGACTTGCAGATTAAAGATCACGTACTGGAACTGGCATGCTGTTACGACAGCAATAAGGAGCACATTGATGATTTTGTGAAACAGCATTTTTTTCTTAAGCCTATGAACCTTGTTTTAGTACAAAATAACAGAGAAGTCATTGCACGATCTGAACTTTATTACTTAATAAGGCTCAGCTGAAATTGTACTGGTTGGGGAAGAAAGGATGCCTTGCAACACAAAACAACGTCACATTCAAAAAATTGTCTTCATTAAATATTGCTGTCTACACAGACATCCTTTTCTGTTCTTTCAAATGGCATACACCTTTAGATCAAATTTAAGGCTAAGACGCTTGATTTCAAAGATGATGAGGCAGTGAAAAGGAGCAGCTGTTAAGAAACCTGTTTCTGCCAGGCAGGCTAAAACTCACATTTCCAGTTCTGAATTCTAAAAACAGCATTCCCTCCTTCCAGTGAATCAGCAGTGTATTTTTAAAGCCCTGTCATTTTAGCATGAAGGAATCACAAAACAGCTGTGTTATGTGTAAGGTTTGCTCTCATACAAGCCTTCAACAAACAGTTGAGATGGACAATTGTCACTGCTGTGCCCTGCTGACTAGTTCCACGGGGAACAGTTCTATAACTCTAAAGCAGAAAAAAAGCTGCAGAGACAGCACAACTACAGATGATTTTCAAACAGGTCTTAAACACTGAAGTTTACTTGCCTGATATTGCCATCATCAAGGAAGTTGTTAACACAATAACAAGCAATCATCACAGCCCATAAACAATAACTGAGTACAAAGCAGCCGAGGAAAGGAGCACAAGACTAGCTGAGCCATCTGCAGAACGGAGGGACATACACCTGATACCTGTCCCCTGGATTTGGAGGAGGTACCAAAGAAAACCTTCAGCTCAGTTTTGCCATGTAATGGCTAGAACTTAAAGTTTAAGCCACAGTCTGACAAGGGCACAGACTCTTAAAACACACAGAGTAACACAAAGCCACAGACATTTGTCATTCCAAAGCAAAAGAAGTGCACTGTATTTCATCTCCTCAATCTATCTCAGCTGTAAGGAAATCTGAGCCAATCAAGGGGACAGATCCAGATGATGGCACTAACTGGATGTGTTAACTATAAAATCCATCTCTTTCAGAAGCATGACAATAGTAAAGACTAAAGATCTCCGCAGAAAAATACAATTTAAAAGCAACTAAAAAGCCCAAATTTACTGTCAGCAAAGAAAAATTTGGAAACCTATCAAGAAATGACAGTGCTTCTGCTAGGACTGTGCCCTTCCTTGTAAGAAAGGCTGTATTTTGTTTAAGAAAGAAGGAGCCTAGTTACCTAAGTTCTCAGAGAAGCACCTGAGACATTATGTATCCAGTCAGATTCAGAGGAGAGGAGAGACTGAAAATGGTTTATTTCCCTCTACTAGTGGAAATAGAGCCAGCTTAAACGGAGGTCATCACTAAACATTCTAAAAGACTACCTCTAAACTGGCCTTAACTGTCTTTTAGAGACAATCTCCTATCTAAAATACAGCAGTCAAGTAAGAAGCAGAAGTACCTGTACGAATGCTCCAGTATTTGGTACTGAACTTCATGGCATTGGGTTGATAATGACTTGGTAGCTCTCACTTGCCAGCACAGGAGTGGATGTCCTGTCCCACAGTCATGGCTCATACTTAAGGTTCCACCTGCCAGGCTCCACTACAAGACATTGAAGAAACACAGTAAATGTTTTCCTAACTTTTTTTCAGTCACGCAGACATGGTGAAGGTCTCGCCAGCAATGCATGCCAAGGAAAGCAGCGCAGTGATCCTTCAGTGCACACTGCAGATTTAAGCTTGCAAGCACTTATTAAGGCAGAAAAAAAAGTTTCGCAATGAATAGCCCATTGCAGCTATTTGTGCTGATACGAAGAACTGCTAATGTTTCAATCGATATTCTCTAATGCCTGGTAAGAATTCCTCTTCTGGACCTTTAAAACCAAATACAGACTATCTGCCAATTTAATCTAACAAAAAACACCAGGACTTTGAGAGAAACAGATTTAATATCTGCGATCTTTTCCAACGTGGAAAACTATGTTGTCAGAGGGTTTCTTCCATGTTCACTGAGGTAACTGGTGGCTCAGAGCTGTACTAGTAGATAGCCATGAGCGGAGCTCCGGAGGGGCCAACACAAGGTCTAGTACTTCTCAGCTTTCTTATACATCATCTGGGTAGCACAAATGAATCAGCATTCAGCGAGTCTGCAGATGACGCAGAATGGAGAGGAGAGCAACAGTGGACAGAAGAGCCGCTATTCAGAGAGACTGGGGCGGCACAGCAAGGTCAGTAAGGACTGCATGGCATTTAACTCCAGCACCATGACAAAATAAGCACAAGCAGCAGCTCTGGCTGCTCCATCAGTACTGGACTACAAGCATCTACACCAATCAGGAGAGAACTAAATGCAGAGTTTTGAAATCAGTCTAGTTCTCCAGCAGTTACAACTTCCAGTTCTGACAGACAGGACAGTCCATACCCTTCATAACCAGGTAAAGTGCAAAGACAGAAAGCTAACAAAGAATAAATACATAAAATTGGAAGATTCTTATCCGGTAAGTAACATCTAATTTTGCACTTCAAATGCTTATCCAAAAGATATTCTCATAACACAGATGGACAAAGAAGTAGTAATTACATTTAAAAGTGAATCACAAACTGCAATACAAATATATGTAATTCATTCCAAATGCAAACTGAAGACTGAAACCACAAGACAAGATGGTGGTACCTGAAAATTTGCTCCTAAACTCAGCTGATTGAGGCCATGTAAAATATCTGTACTAAGTAGCTGCAGAAGCAGAGATGTCTGCAGAATAAGATCCAGGCCTGCACACTTTCCTTCAGCTGTAGTTTCCACAACTGTACAGTCTGTGTTAGATGTAGGAATTCATACTCTGGTGGTACCATAACAGTCAGGCTCCCCTGTGTTCCTTCTCTCCAAAGATGCTGTTCCATTGGGATTAGCCTGTACAGAATCAGAGATTCATCAACTGATACACAGCACATTCTCAGACTTGATTTTTTTTAAACCTAACTATATTATTTTGTTTTTCCTTTGTTTCAAAGTTCAGATATTGGTGCACAAAATAAACATGCTACCCCTTCCTCTTTCTCCTTTTATCAAACTCATTTAAATGGAACTTCGTTTAACACAAACTGAAGTATACCTTTGTACATTTGCCTCAAATTAAAGAGCATTTAATAACACGTTTTGCTACCAGACCCATTTCACTAAGTGGAATTCTGCTGAACTGTTACTAGAGAAAATAAGAATGTAATTTGACTTTAAATACAGAGATCGTGTTGGAGTACAAAGCTGCAATTTAGGTAAAGTAACAAACTCACATTAGATTTTAGTCCACGATGTTGCATAATCCTCCATTTTTATTTCACCAATCACGAGCTGTTGAAAAACAAGGCAATCCTTTGGGAAACAGAAATATCCAGCAGCAAGATGATCAAAGGCATATTGTTGTTTTGCTGCATCAAGCTCTCAATGTCAAGATTCAGTTTTCGTATGTTGTTAAAAGCAGCATTCCTCTTCCCATCAAACCTCATCAGGATGTGGCAGACTATAAAGGCAACTTATATTAAGAATTTCCCACTGTTGTTGCTCATGTTCAGACACAGGAAAAGGCTGTGATCTTGAGTTAGGAAGTAACAACCATTAGCAGAAACAACCCATTCATTACTTTTCAAGTCCATGCAGATCTAAGGTGCCTCTACACACACAAATCACAAAACAACCGTACTATTGCATCCAAGAGCTATCCAAGTGACTGTATTTCAATCCCTCCTCACAAGGAATAGCCCAAGATCTGTTTCAGCATCAGTTTCCTTTCTAACAACAGAAATGTTATTGTGCTCAATCTGGCTCATAAAGCCATGGTAACTGGTACATGAACTTTACGAAGGCACGCTCTACACGGCTGTGAGAAAACAAGCAGGCCACAGCTCTCAGTAACATGTGTTCTATACACCTAATGATGGAGTTCAACAAGGTCTTGTGCTGTATGAACAAAACCAGCCCTCCCAACAACTTACAGCACATTACCCCAGTCCCACTTAATACAAAAGAGAACAAATCCAACAGAATTTGTTGTTTGCTCCACATTGCCTACATATTCTAAATGGATAATAAACTACAATTAGTGCATATGTACACACACACACAATAATATTAAAAGACAGAACTCTTCCAGCTGCACCAACACATGGGCACATAGAGCATACAGTTGAAACTTAAAGAAATGGTATAAAAAAAACCTAAATTCCACACAAGTTTTGCTCAATTTTTATGTATACACATTGAAAACTGCTTTGACTCCCCACACAGAGTTATCTCACAGAAATGACTCACAGCTAAAGTATTCCCATTAAGAGAGGTCACTGGCTGGATTTAGGATTTTGAGTCAGGAAGACTTGTAGCCTGCAAACAACTGTAAGCCATTTCAGCTTGTCAGCAACATAACACTGCAGCTAACAGAAGTGGTGGCCAATACCATAATAAACTGAATAATATTATAAATACATCAGCAAGGGAAAAAACAGCTCAGAAAATGCTTTGTATTTCACAAAGAATAGATTTTAATGTACATTCACTGCTTAAACCTCCTTAAAAGAACTTGTCCTCAGAATTTTAAAAACCTTGTACAACCCAGTAAACAAATAAAATAGTTTATTTTTACTCTATGATAAAAGAAACTCAGCAGCAAAACTTCCACGTTATGTAGAAGAACTCCAATCAGATGTATGCACTTTGTCCCCAAGTAAAAGAAGTGGAAGAAAATCTTGAAGGCTTTTGTTTAAGCACATACACAAACAACCCACTGGAAACTGGAAAATTCAAACAGAAATTGGCTCATTTTAAAATACTTCTGTGATTTAAAAGGCAAACACGGGAAAGAATTTACTGACTAAAGAATTCCTAACTTTTCTAAAATCAGTTCTCCTAATGAAGAAACACAATTATACACATAATACATAAAAAACACCCAGAAATCTAGAAAATAATTACAAATGCATCACAGCTTACAAGGTGCTTCAATACTGACCATCACAGACCATTGTAAGAATTTCATTTTTCTTACTAGGAAACTGCAACAGACAGTCAGTGTACTCTTTTTCTAACCTCACACTCCATTTGGCTCAAAATTTTAAGTGAGCTGCTGAGACTCAGCACAGTCTTGTTTTTTTTTTTTTCAGTGACAACTAAGGCAAACCTTAATACCTCAGGTAAACAGTACCACATATCGCCCTGCATTCTGATAGGAGATTAGACTGTAACCTTTCAGTAATGCAATAAAAAACCATCAATATTCATTTTTGAAGACATGCTAGAAACCAAAGTAATTCCTGGAAATTGTGCTGGGGAAGCAGAAACTGTTTCATACTTTGCTTATTAGCAAAGCTTAGGCTTTCCAGTGCAAATTTATGGCACGTACTTTTCTATAAAACACAGCTTTTGTTTTCCCAGACTCATTTGCTACACCATCCTAAAAAGAGAATGTGTTTTAGTGAATAATTGTAAAAAATTGGTAGACATTATGTTAAAAATTTAACTAGATAAATCTCTTAGCTATACCACATAAAGTAAAATATAATTTAAAATTGCCAGAATACAAATCTGTAGTGATTCTGGAAGAAGTAAGCAAACTGAAGAGTTGCTTTTCTTGTTGCTGTCATATCAGACACTGTTGTAGACCACTGCATCTTCACGCTTCAAGCTGTAGTTATTCTATGACAATGGTGAGGCTAACAGGTCGTACTTTTCCACTGACTTCAACAGGAGGCACTCATCATTTTTTTTGTTTGTTTGTTTTAAACCCAACTGAATTTAAGATTTTTCAATTGAAACGTGCCCACTAAGGTAAGAAGGGGTTAAAGGTTTATAGAACTTTTCAGTGTTCCTAAGTATGGCTGTGGAGCTGTTTCCCCTACCGGTTTGTTCTGGCTCCTTTGAAACTTCAAAAGCCCTCAGATGTGTTGTTCCATTTTGAACTTCTCCAGTCCATGCTTAGCACGGTTCAGATGCTCCTACTTCACCTGTGTTTTGTTTTGCTTCATTTTCCACTTTTTCTTCATCATTCTTTGTTTGCAGTGATTCTTCAGCTTCTTTGCAGCCACACCTTCATTTCTAACAGGCTTAGCTGGATTGCCTTTTGTTTCCATAGTTACTGGCTCTCCCTGGTAGGGTGTGTCTGACTGCCCTTTCACCCCAGCCATCTAGACATGTGGGGAGAGAGGAAAAAAGATAAAGAGTAATCTTAATCTCTTTCTCTATTAAGCAAAGACGTAACTACCTTCAGAGAACTGCTTTCTAATGCCAGCCAGACTCAGGGCCACATTCAGACAGGATGAGAGGTGCTGCTCTTCCTGGCACCAGTGGCATCTCACCACTCCCACTCCTTTCATGCCCAAATTTCCCTCTGGCAGAAACCAAAGTACACGAGGCCATCAGAAACTGATGTGCAACTTTACACTGCCCTCATATAAGAAAGTGTCAAACTGGTAAACCTGCACTGGAAAAACAATAATGCCTGAAAAGTTTCCTGCTGGTACCTTGTCGTGTTACCTGCTCAAAATATTAAGAGCTAAGAGTGGGATCTTTGGGAAGTTTCCACAGCATGATATACACTGTTGAATCATCACTGTAAATTACAAAGCAGGCTGAGGTTCTGAACAGTTTATTTAAAAGATTCTATTAAAATTCTCTTTGGATACAAACAATTCTGCTCATGATAAATTCTATTGTTATAGAAACAATAGCAGCAAAAAGCAAATGTTAGGAGTAAGCCATCCATATAAACAATTATTACGTATGTCTGAGAAATGTTTCCTAACTAAGAAGTTACTCCTAGGTGCTACACAAAGCATACCTACCTCTGCACTAGGCAGCATGCTGCTCTTAAACATTATTGCATAGATGCTGCTAGGAATGTTGCCCCGTGTAGGGAACAGCACACTACAAGAATTCTAAGTCCCCCTGTTTCCCTATACCAGGGAAACCACCTGAACTGCAATCAAAGTTTTCTCAAAGCTAAAAGGTGTTCAGAACAACCAAAGACAGGTGATAAGCTGTTATCTAGCTGCCTGAGCTAACACACCTGAAAAGACTAAAATGAAACCTTTTTGCTGCAGAGAATTTGCCATTATCCATACATGAGATTTGTTCAACATCCTAATCAACCAAGAACAGATTCAGGATACTCTGTGTGCTGAAATCAGGAAAGAACAGCATGAGGAGACAAAAGAAAGAACTTAAACTTCTAATAAAGAGTAACTTCTTTGGGTCTGCTGTCCTGTAGTGTTATGCCACAGCTAACAACAGAAAATCTCTTTTTGACACGGGTGATTTCCTTACAATCTCTGCTGCCCACATGAGGGTTCTGGTACAAATACTGGAGCTGAGTGCACAGAGAAAGGACTAACCTAGATTCCTCTCCTCTGTCTTGTTACTTATTTTCACCAAGCTCCTCAGAACTCACCATCACATGCCTCCAAGGCATGTCAGTTTTCACTGAAACAGTGCAAGATTTCAAGATTCTGAGATTTGGAGTAAAGAAAAGGGAAAATGGAGGGGAAGTGGGGACTTGAGGACAGCAAAATAGTTAAAATAGTTTCAGATCCTTCCTGAAATTGTCTGAAGATAAAGCATATTGATAAAAAACAATATCAGTGGCAACACTAGAAAGTCTTTATGAATAGAAATACTGTACCTGTTCCAGCTGTACTGAAAGCCTTAATTACAAGGCTTTTAAGTAGGGCAAATGCTGCATCATTTTCACTGTCCAAAAGTATCATTAGCTCACATTAAAGATGCAAAGCTCAGTTTTAAAGAGATTTTGCCAAACAGGGTAAAAAGTGTGTTTTTTTGGAAAAACACATCCATATCATGTAAAACTGGAACAAGAGCTCAATATAATTTATCACAAACTAGACCCTGAGAGTATAATTCATCTCACCTGACTGCACCTGTCTACAGTTGCACTAATCATCCATAATTCTGTGGTCACTGGGGAAAAAATAATTACAGCATGAGTCCTGCAACCTACTGAAGAGATCTATCCTAGTTTACAGACGGATCCCCATTAAAGCATTCCACTTCTCTCTGCTGACAGTACTACAAGCTTCAACATTGCTTTTCCATACTGTAACACTTAAAAGCTAGGTAAGATGAATCTCATCTGAAATGCCTTTCAGGAAAAAGGCATTCCTGTTCCTGGCTGTGGATGCAGAACTCCAAAGGGTGTCTTTGAACCCACAAGATGACAAACAAATATATCACCTATAACCAGTGGATTGAAAAAGATTATTTCCAAACTGCTACTCTGTTTTTCCATTAAGTGCAATACCCACCTTCTGTTTCCCCGTGGCTTCTTGGGGTGCAGGCGGAAAGGTGCATGGGACTCTTCCATGTTTCATGTGATAGGGCAAAGGGACACTGGGATCCAGTGGCACCCAGGGGACTGAGAGCATGGCAGGTACTGAAGGCAGATCACCATGAGCCTTATGTAAGTTATATGAAGCTCTTGTTGGCTTGTCAAGGGAACTCTTGTAGATTGTAACTGATGAATCTCCTGCAGCATGAGTCAATAGATAAGAGCCCTCCTGCAAACTAAAAGGATATAAATTTAAAAAAAAAAAGAGTTTTTTTGTTTGCTTTATTAATTGTTTCACTTTATCTGACAACCTGAACAGGATAGCTAGTAATAGCTTTAATGCAGAAGCAAAACATCTTTAGGTATTTACTTACCAGTCCTTGTTTTATAAAAAGACCATGGACACAAATGAGGAAGTTAAATTGCATTAATAAATTAAATTAGATCTTGCTCATTTATATTTTATACTGGCAAAAAGGTCCAACCTCTTCTGCCATGCCACCAATATCTGCCTGTGATGTCATGAACAAACATAATAGATGGCATTACTTCAGAGCAGCCCATGTGCATGCAAAGAAGCTGCAGACTGAAAGCCTCAGAGTAGCCAAAGAAAGAAAAATAGGGAACAAGAGAGAAGTTGTAACAGTGTGCAGATGAAGATATATGCTGTTATTCGTAAAGTTAAGCAGAAGGGAACATATGAAGGGAACTTTGTTCTTGCTAGCAAAAATCAAAATTTTAAGTGTCAGCCTACACACTATTACAGCTTACTCCTATGTACTGTTACGCCAGCTCAGAAGTATCCCATCTCCTCTCCTGAGTAAGTGGTTCATAAAAGTCAACTTGCTGTTCTTTTGTACCATTCATACAAAACCTTCAAACCTAACCACATTTTTAGGTGGCACTGAGTTATGCTCTGCTAGACCTAAAAGAATCTCTAATAGATTTCATGTATCCAAAGACACAAAAATCAAAGAGCAGACTACCACTGTACATAAGAAACAGGATTGCATGGGCACAGTTGGAAAGGAATATAACGTACAAAAACAAAGCACTTACTCAGACACTTTCTTCAAAATATGATGAAGTATATTCAATGAATTTGCTGGCCTGTTAAAAAAAATTACAGCAAAAAAGTATTTAAAAAAGTAAAAAAGTAAAAGCACTTAAAAAAGGAGTATCCTGCAAGCCTTGTTAGAACTTCAGATTCATCATTAAAACAATACTCACTTAATCAATCCAAGTTTTTCTCTTAATATTTTTGGAGAAATCTTTTCCAGCATAATAAGTTTTGAAGTGAGACCATCAATATGCCCTGGAAAACATTAATCAAAACATTTAAAAAAAAAAAAAGAGAGAACAAACTAACATAAAGGCATAATTTGCAGACCTAGAGCATTCTAAAAGCAGTATTTTTTCCTATTTCACAGTGTAGAGAGTGGAAAGCATCTACCAGTGTTGCCCAATAACTGAAAATGGAATGTACAGTTGTTTCTAAGCACGGGCATTTGTGTGTGGGCTGTCTTACAGATCAAGGATGGCCCATGATTCCTGCAAATCTCACGTCTTGTGTGATGTCCAGCATGTGCAACCTCACCTTGCTGTGGCTTTACTCTTGTCAGCTAGTTTATATCCTCTCAAATTTTCCTGATGCTTAATGCTACAATTCCTTACAGTGTAGATGATGAGCTCAACTTTTAAGACAAATTTACCTTGGAGTTGAACACACTCGCTTCTCTGTTCTGCTGCGTTATCTGACCATTGATACTATTTGGTTTTCTGAGTATTCTGTATCTTTGTCTTTGGATTTTTTCTTTCCTCCAGTGAAACGCAGCTTACAATTCTGGCCTTGTTCACAGCAAATTTGCTAAGACTGTTTATCCCTCACATAACTAAGGGCTTTCCTCAACATACTGCTATAACAGACACAGGCTAGCCCAAGTTTTCACTTGAAAAGCAATAAAGATAATTACCATAGCTTGTACATTGATGTAGTGACTGCATCTTACCAAGAGAGATTCTCTCTCAAGATGGGGTTTTTGCAGAAAACTGCCCTATTTCAGCTTCCATAAGAATCAGAAGGAGAACACAGTATAATAAAAATAACCTACTCAGTGGAATTTACTGCACATGCTATATATCTGTCCATGTAGGAAGTCTAAAAGTCTCAACAGTATATTTAAAACTGCTAAACAAAATTATTTCACGTTCAAGGCTAAACATTACTCAGCAATCTGTTACATGATGATCAAGTATGAACTCTCATTTGTAACAAATTCGAAATGAAATCAGTTGTCCTGGTTCACTTTTAAAACACCACACACGTATTACTTTTCTTGATAGCAGTGTTTTCTGTACGACTAAACACTAAGTTTAATATTCTGTATTGCTAACTATGAAGAAAGAAACTTGAAATCATGAAAGTAAAAAATCTGTGTTGCCCATTATTTGTCAGCATCTTCTCAAAATCTCCATTTCTAAACTCGTTGTCAGCATAGCTGGAGAAAAATACCTATGAACTACTCATACTGGATATATATTACTGTAACCTTTATTTAAGAAGTGACTGACCAAGTCCACTTGACATTCAGTAAGTTATCTATACAGAAAGCACTTTTTTCCAGTCTTCAAATCATCTTTATTTAAGAGTCATTGTTATTCCATTCAGATGAAGATAAACTATGCTCAGGTGCTTAATGCAAACAAGTGAATTTTGGGGGTAAAGCATTCCCAGCCTTAATCAGCAACGCCTAACCAATTAAACCAATTAAAACAGGTACAGATACTTTGGGAAATGTCACAGCCTTTTTGTACGCATGTTATCCTATTTGAACAGCAACAGGACTTAAAACGACTGAGCAAGATGCTCTACAGAAAGACAGCACTCTTTGGTTGGTGTGAAGACGATATATCTGCTTTTGAACAAATGGAGAGTCCATATGTCAGGAAATCAAAAACCCAACTTAACGGCACACCTTGCACAGTATGCAGGAGGCAATACCTCCCTTTCCGTTTCCTTTTTCATCTGCTGAACTGAGGCACTGTGAGGTACTTCCCTGAGTCACACAGAACAACAACGCTGGAAAATTATGGGGCACTATCCAAGGTCCAAAGAACTTTTCTCCCATACCTATTAGCAACGCAAAAGGTTGCTAATACAGTGAATTCCAATCCTTTCAAGAGCCAAGAACGCCTAAGCAACTTACCACTGATATCTGCTACCCATTCAGAACCTCAGTTTGAAAGGTTCACTTCAGATCTACACATTCCTAGAACTAATTGAATAAGAACAGAAGCTTGATAGGTACTGTATTATTAATGGTAAGAGCAAAGTTTTCAAATAGTTTTTTTCATACCTTCACATGTTATTGGGTAAACAAGTCTATGGCTATACTATTGCTGATTCAAACATCCCATTATGACAGGACATTTCACTTATTTCAAATTATAGCATGACCTAAGAAGACACCTAGATCACATCTGCCTTTCTGGTTACAACAAACGTGTGATAGTTCAAGTCTTGCAATGAAAAAGAATGAAATATTCGCCCAATTTTAAGCCATCCATAATACAGGGATATTATCACCACTGGGGAACTGCCACTTGATTTTCAGGAAAAAAGAAAGTCTTTCAAAGAGTTGTGTAACTAAATCAGAACACTTGCAACACTGGATTTTTCAGAGCTCCCCAGAAATATAAAATGAAAGGCAGAATCAAAGCTGTGTTCAGCCTGGACAGGAGAAGGCTCTGGGGACAGCCAAGAGTGGCCTTTCAGTACCTAAAGGGGGGCTGTAAGAAGGAAAGGGGCAGACTTTAGCAAGGTCTGTTGTGACAGGACAAGGGGAAACGGTTTCAAACTAAAGGAGTGGAGATTCTATGAATCCTGAAGTAGAATGTGGTAAGTTTCCTATTAATAGCAGTTGTAGGTTCAATTTTATACAAAACTGATTGATGCCTTCCAGGCATCTGTTAACCTAGCTATATTAGAAATTACATGCTGGTACCAAAAATCCACAGTCCCCAGTTTGCCTACCTGAATAAAACCCATATTCTGCAAGCACCAAAAGTTATTCACACATCAGAAGTCCAAGTCAATACAAGCAATATTCTAAATCTTTTTTTGTTTGTTTAAACAGTGGTGGGAGGGGGCCTTCACAAATGCTAGGAGAACTACGATAACCAGTACAAACCCCTAAAGGATTCCAGGTTTTGCTGCTGGATGAAGTGCATCCAAGAACCGAAAACCAAACACACTGCAATAATCAGCATCTCAGCTTCACTATGGCTTTCTCCCTAAGCGCACAGAGCTGTCAGAGGCTGGCTCCCAGGAGCCTGCTTGCTCAGGGCTCCACACCCACTCCATGCCTAACAGCTGCCTGCGTGGTACAGTGGAGACTAAGGAACTTCTGAATCAGAACGGGATGACAGCTCATGCCGGAACAAGAACCGCTCTCTCCTACAATCCTGAGAGCCTCAGTAAATGGGTGTTGGCTGCTGAGCTGTGTGCAAACTTCCGTGCCCTAGCCATATGCTAAGTGTCCTGTTACTGATAGATGATTAGATAGACATGCATTCTTCCAGCCTGCATGCCTTTTAAGACAGTCAGCCCTCTCTTTACAGCTACATTATTTCCTCACACTGCTTGCGATTCTGGAGAAGCTAATAAACAGAAACATTTTCTTGAAGGGGAGAAATATTTCAGTGTAGTTTAGTACTACTGTACTTAAAAAACAAACAAACAAACAAACAAACAAAAAAACCAACTTCAGGACCTTGCATCAAGTTCACAGAATCACAGAATTGCAGGGGTTGGAAGGGACCTCCAGAGATCATCGAGTCCAACCCCCTGCCAAAGCAGGTTCCCTACAGCAGGTCGCACAGGTCGGCATCCAGGCAGGTCTTGAACATCTCCAGAGAAGGAGACTCCAAACCTCCCTGGGCAGCCTGTTCCAGTGCTCCGTCACCTCACTGTAAAGAAGTTCTTGCGCATGTTTGTGCAGAACTTCCTATGCTGCAGTTTCCGGCCGTTTCCCCTTGTCCTGTCTCCACTCACCACTGAAAAGAGTCCGGTCTCGCCATTCTGCCCCCCACACCTTAGATATTTATAGACCTGGATCAGGTCCCCTCTCAGTCTTCTTTTCTCAAGGCTGAACAGACCCAGTTCACTCAGCCTTTCTTCATAGCAGAGATGCTCCAGACCCTTCACCATCTTTGTGGCCCTCCGCTGGACTCTTTCCAAGAGATCCCTGTCTGTTTTGTACTGGGGTGCCCAGAACTGGACGCAGTGCTCCAGGTGAGGCCTCACCAGGGCAGAGTAGAGGGGGAGGATCACCTCCCTCGACCTGCTGGCCACGCTCTTTTTAATGCACCCCAGGATGCCATTGGCCTTTTTGGCCACAAGGGCACACTGCTGGCTCATGGCCAACCTGTCATCCACCAGGACACCCAGGTCTCTTTCCGCAGGGCTCCCCTCCAGCAGCTCATCCCCCAACCTGTACTGGTGCATGGAATTATTCCTCCCCAGATGCAAGACTCTACACTTGCTTTTGTTAAACCTCATCCAGTTTTTTTCTGCCCAGCTCTCCAGCCTTTCCAGGTCTTGCTGAATGGTAATATGTAAATAAAAGGTAAATTAGAGAAGAAGAATAGGAGAACTTTGTGCATAATGATTTAATAAATTTGGCTTTGTGAAGGTTTTTAGATCATATCTGATTTCATATAAGCCTTACAGTTCTGTGATTAAGATGCAAAGTTTGTATGTAAAAACTAGAAAAAAAAAACAACCAAACTCAGCATTTCTCAAATAGTATTCTGACATGAGCTACCAAGGGCAGAACGTGTCATTCAGTGCTAAAGTGGAAAGGTTAGGCAACCACAGGCCACAACTGCTGCCATAACAACCATAAAAACAGACAAATCTTTCTGTAACAGGAAGCGAGGCAGTCCCAGCTCCAGAACATTCACTCACTGTAGAGGATTGCCCTCTTCCCACAGCAAACATTAAGCATACTCTAAGATGCACTGTGACGTACCACTTGAACAGATGGTCCTTTTAAAAATTAATTAATCACTAGATAACTGATATCAAAGAGCTACACATATATTAAAAAGTTTGGTAAAGTTATCTGGCCCCGTTCTTTATATGTATCATTTTTCTTTCTCTCCAGAAAGAGGAACAGACAAACTTTCTTGACTTTCAAAACAGTCACTGTACAAATCTGAATGTAGCATTTTTTACTGGAAGTATGCTGATCACTTTCCTTAGAACACTGCACTCATGTTAGGTCTTAGTTGTGCAGAAAAGAGAGTTTACAGTAAGACACCTTCTAATAACATTTTTGCTTTTCATCCCAGTTTATTCTATTTTCCATGCTCCTAATTACAGATGTAATCTCTTCTATACAGGACTGCTTCATTCTGAGTATTGATTACTCTGCATGCATAGGCCCTATTACATTTTTGAACAGCAGATGGGAAGGAGATGAAGGACAAGGTTATCATACCCATCCCTTTGGGATATTTTGACCACATCATCTACTGGGAAATGAAATTTCACTGCCCAGTAAGGCACAGACAACTTCTGTTCAACTATCTGAAAAACATCATTACATACTGGTGTTCAGAGATCCCATGCAATACCACATCTATAGAAAGCAGTTTTAAATAAACCCATGCTACCTATTTTTCTCGTTACTGCAAAGACAAAATTACTTCCAGTACATTGTATTTGAGACAAATCTTCTGTTTCCAAAGCTTGCAATTTCTCATATTTCTGAATAACAAAACAAGCCATATCTTGCTTGCTTTTCCTCATTCTCCTGTATCTTATCTGTCTGCATGTTATTAGTGCTGAATTATAAACACTATTGTATGTCTCCAAAGAAAAACAAGTTATGTTTGACCTTCTCCCCTGCTACAAGTTCAGAAGCGAAGAGATCTGTATTCTCTGAGCCACATACACAATCATTCCTATTCACCAATTTTGGCACGTGATAACAAATTGGTTTAAAATGATTTCACAAAATAGCATACATTTACAGTTCATTTTTTAATCGAGAAGAATTCTCACTGCTCCAACATTACAATAATCTGTGTTGCATTTGACTCATTAAAAAAAATAAATAATTGAAGTCACGAAGATTGCTAATTTCTGAGAGCTAAGTTTGGGTTATAAATTTTTCCTTGAAAAGCAAACAAATGCAATTCTTGCAAACAAAGGTTACTGGATGTTATCCAGTGAAAACCAAAGTTGAAATGTCCCCATTCAGCACCCAAGAGAAATTTTAGAAAAAGAACTTAAGATAAAAGTGAAAACCAAAGTTAGAAAACTCAATAAGGATGTATGGAATATACCTGCCATAAACACGTTCCTCTTCTGTTATTTCATGGAGGTTTAGACATCCACATGTCATACAAGCAAGCACAAATCAACACACTGACTTACCAATATAAAATAAGCATTCAGAATGAAGCATGCTCTCTGTCCACAGCTGACATACTTCACTTTCTGTAAGAGCTTCAACACCATAATAGGCTTGGTATTCCAGTTTAGGCAACAGGAATATTGGAATAAGCTATCAAAGCAAACACACAGACAAAAATCAGTATGCTGTGCAAAAATGATTGTTGCAATAAGCTGCATTTTGACACTTATAATCATCATCATCTTCCACTACAACTGCAGCAACAAAGATGTAACAGCTTGTGCCCTATGAAACCCACACAACAAGCTTAAGGCTAAGGAGACCCTGCATAAAGGAAGGCAAAACAGAGAGGTTAAAATAAAACAGGAAAACACTAGGCATGTTTTCACAAAAAAATAAACTGATATTAAGCCACTACCCATGAAACTTATTTTGACATTCTCACTTTTATGCTCTACTGCCCTCTGCAGGAATTTAGATATGCAATTATGACACGGATTTGCCCGTTAGAATTCTGCCTTTTATTCACATCAAGCAAAGGCAAGATAGTTCAAAGCAAGACTGTGAGCATATAATTTTCACAAGTAAAAACTACTAAGATCTATTTCTATTTCAATAAAGTACAAACATCTTACAAGCTGTTTACAAGCTGTTTACCTGTCCATCATAATTCTGGTATTTTGGGGAAGCCTATATCAGATCAAGTTTGTCAAACGATTATGAGGACTCTTGACAAAACTATGAATTACCGAGGATTCCAGACTAAGTTTTCCTTCTCCTGTCATAATACAGAATATTGGATTTCACTTGCACTTAAAGCATTTTAGCCCTTAAGACACACAGTTTGCTAAGATGTATTCTGGAGCCTTTTTAAACAGAATGTTTTTATGATTCCAAACAATCTTAAAGTGTTTGGAAAAAAAAATTTCTACGTTACCTTTTAAAAACAGTTCCAAGAGGCATCATGTTACATGAATAGAATTATTCATACACATTACTGAAATGTAGCTGTAGTAGCAAATGCAGAATCACATTTAGAAACTGTTCTAATCAAGTAGGTTAAAAAAAAGAGCCAATTCCTCACCTTTTGAGCTTTCTTCTTTTTATTGAAACGTGGCAATGATCTCACTTTCTGCACATTGCAACGCACAAGTAACAACAGGTCATCCAAACTGAACAGCTTATACGCAAGATTGCCATCCTGAGGTGCTTTATACTCTCCAGGGTCTTCCACAAGCATCTGAAGTTCATCTGGCAGCTTTCCTACAGAAAATAAAACCAAAAACAACAAACTTGGGCATTCCTCACTTTGAGGCTAATCAAAGGGCTTTTTTTGAGGGCTTTCTTTGCCCTTTCTGACAGTAGTTGATTTTTTAAAAGCCATTTTGTTTGATAATAGTTGGAGGTGAAAAGCTTGCTCATTATGCACAGTAAATCACTTGTTAAGGTGCTTGTTTTTAAAAAAATAATTCCACAAAATGCCTACAATGGCTTTTAAAGAATGTATTATTAATTATTCCCATATTTTATCCTGCTGTTCAATTTCTTACGCAGAGCGTTTTGTGCAGATGGAGTGGAAAGGTGATTTTTTTCTTTCAGTTACTTTCACTCAGCACAAAGAGCCCACAAAATTACTTTGAATGAGAGACGTTATCCATTTATTAATTACAGAAGCAGCTCAAGCCTCAGGTTTGGCTGGTGGCTCGAGGCTCCATTCCAAACTGAGTTTGTTTCAATTTCAATTACATTAACTTGCATATTCAAAAGAAACTTCTTCAGATCTTAAGATGCAGCGTGGAGGTTGATGAACACCCATATCTGTGTCCTTCACAGATATTTTAACGAAACACCAAAACCACAAAATATAAGCTCTGATGTTTATTTATCCAATTCTGTTTTTGTACTGCAGACCTGTGGAAATAATACATATCAAAACTACACCACAAAGAAATATTGCTGTAGTGCTACTAATAAATACATGCACCATTATACTTATTGTTTACATGCATGTTTGAATGAATGAATACTGTGTGATGTACTAACATTCAAGTGACAAAAAATAACTTTCTGCTTGTTAAATAATTAACTTAATTCCAGCCTTCTGCCAAAAAGACACGTAAAGCCACTTATCAGCTTGCAATATCACTTCCAAGCTGTTGAACTCTGTTTTCTATTTGTTCACAATACCACATCTCAGTTTCTTAGCAATATTGGTTTTATCACTCCGATTAAAAATAAACAACACTTGAATTCCGTGGTCTGGCTTTGTGAAAAGATAAGAAATTGGAAGAGCATCATGCTGCTTAGTCCTTTAGATGGGAGGAGGGAAAAGAGTCATGTCTTTGACCAATAATTAAAATCTGGTTGACTCAAAGGAAACGTACCTAACAACAAGTTCAGCTCATAAAAGTATTACTTGTGTTAATCCATCTGCAATGGAAACAGTTAAATAATTAATTCCTATGTGATCAAGCACACAGCTAATCAGAAAACACCAATAAAATATGTTCTCCCACCAAAAAGCACTGATTCAATGCAATTAAATATTTGAGAGAAGTGTATCCATGCTGATCCAACTGCCCGCTTTCCTGCTAATTTACCTGAAGCAAGGGTTCCTAGTTTCAGTTTTACACAGCTCAGAAGCTACTCAGGCAAGTAAAAAGCCCTCAAACTTTACGGCCCCTAGGACCTTCAAGTAGAGGTCTGGATCTAACATGGGCTGCATTTCCAGCTGAACACTGGAAAACTTGGAGAAGTGCCTTGTAGTGAGTTCTCAGCAGCCCTCTGGAACAGATTTGGTAAGAGCTGATAAACAGAAGCTGAGGGGGAATTCTCAAAACTTGGACAAGTCAATACCAACTTCTCTTCAAAATTTTAATTACATAATTTGATCTACAGAAAAAGTAAAGTAATTCCACTTTCAACTGAGAAGAAATGATTTTTGTAGACCTTCTCACAGACCAGACTGCTCAAACATTGAAACTTCTATGGAAAAGTAACTAATCTCAACACCAAACAACTTCTCCTTTCTCAGAAGCCTTGTTGTTTCTATAATTAAAATTAACATTTCTTATTCGCCTCTATGGATAAACAGCTCCACACATTCTTCCTTATTCGTGCAACATAATACCTGCCAAACACAAAGTATTTCTGGGGTCATAAAAAAGTCATATCTGAACAAATGCAACAGAGCTACAGAGATATTACAGATCCTCTTCAGGCAAGGGAATTAAAATGCTTTTCAGCTGAACTGAAATTTTTCAGTTTTTCTCCACAGACAACAAACATTACTACTCACTCCTTTGCACTCCCTGAAAAAGGCACGTCCAGGTATTCCTACATGAGCCATGAGGATTTGGGGCAGGGCCCAGCACAGGTGCTGTGTGGGAGATCACTGGTGGCTTTGAAGATTGAGGCACGTGAGTTTGTGCAGCATTAGCATTATCACAGCTCACTGCTGGCTGCTCATGGGCTTTTTGGGTAGGTGACTTGAGGAGCTCCGTTTGCATTTTCAAAATCCGTCCAACAGGATCAAATTCTTTGGACAACCTTCTTGCAGTCTTTCTGGAGGCATTTTTCCCCTGATGCACAGTTTCTGAGCAATCAGCCATGCTTGCAGATGAATTTGGGGTGGGGGAAGGTGACTTGCAAGTCTGGACCAAGGTCTGAGAAACAGCATTTGGAACAGTTTTTTTGCATTCCGTATTTTTATGCTCTATATCAATTATTAAACGATCTTCGTCGGTGTCACTACTGCATAAAGGAGCATACATCTCATTTTTCTGTGCAGCATGAGAGTCTTTTTTGCAACTTACAGCAGGATATAAAGTATTAGTTTCATTGTCTGATACTTTTTTGGTCATGACATCCTGTGCTTTCTTCAACTCCATCTCCTCAGAATGAAAGTTTTTATGAGACCAATTTCCTTCAGGGCTGAAGCATACATTGCCACATGATGGAAGCTGCAATCTGGAATACGCTGAAAATCCCTGCTCAGAAAGAGGAGTTTTTCTATCTTGAGCTTCACTGTTTGTGGTAGATGTCAGTTTTTTTTCTGGTTGTAAGTCACATGACAAAACTTTATCAGTGTTACCAACTGAACAAGTGTTTTCTGTTTTAGAAGTCCTTGAAAGTTTGACAGCTGCTCCAAAAGTTTCCAGTTCTGTAAAATCATCATCAAAGTCCATCCCTGCATCATCTGTAAATGGAATCTTCCTGCACTGGTAGGTATCAGCAGACACCTTAACATAGGGAGAAAAAATAAATATTGCACAATCAAAAAAGCCAAGAAATAGAATGCATTAATGACGAATGAGACACTACCAAAGGGGAAACCTGAAAACTGTTCTAGGATCCAAATTTTCACTGTTGAGTGAGAGGGGCAGCTAGTGAACCAAATTCCTTCTGTTTCATGTGAAATGTTCTCAGACTGTAGGTATTAAAAGGTCTTTCAAAACAGAAATAAAGTCCATAAAGCTTGTTGCACCTAAATAAACCCGTTAAAACATATTTTAATGAAATAAACATTAAAGCTGAGTTGAAGATATAATAGAAGCACTTAGAGGAACCGGACAGACATCCTCAAGACAGTGCCTGAAGCCCAGTAGTTAAAAAAAAAAAAAAAAAAAAAAAAAAAAAACAAAAAAAACAACAAAAAAAACAATCAACAGGAGACCTAAATTTTCCTCCATTATCACACAAGTAGCTTAAAACACAGTATTTTTTTGTTTTTTTTTCCCCCCCTCCAAAAAAGAAGTGAAGCTACGTACATCCCACTGAAACAGATTGTCCTCATCTGGTTTGTCCATCGAAACATCGGAAATCGCAATGTAAGACTTTTTAGTTGCTAGGAAGTCTGCAGGAATTTCATGGAATATTTGGTTCCTCTCTCTTATTGTCATTTCCTTTTTCAGGAGAGGTGAGTCAACAAAAACCACTTTAGCTGCTTTGTTATCTTCTCAAGAAAGGAAATGCATATTAAATGAAAGAAAGAATATCACTTTAGAATTTACGCCATAAATCTTTCAGCTTCCAAATATATTACAGTCCATAATGTACATTTGCAAACAGATGAAAAACCATGCTCTCATTCACTATCAGAGAAGTATGTCCAGCTAGCTTGAATTATGATCCTGAAGCACCAACACACAACACACTGACAATTCATCAGATTTTAAATGCCATACTACATAAGGAATTCCTAAAGAACTAAGGATTCAACATTTCTCACATGGCATTATGAAAATAAAATGTACCCTATTTCCAGAAAGATTTTCTTCTTCCTCTGTTCTGCATACATTAACCTCAGTAAATCTGACTCGGGGACTGTTATTTTCTTTTAAAGATTCATTGCCCAAAAGCGATGGCTGAAGTTTGTATTTCTTTCTGATCAGTAACTAAGTTAGGGCACTTCTGCCTCCCTCACTGCTGTTTATAACTTAAACACGAATCATAATTAAATTCACCAAAAAACAACAATGACACTCTGGCCAATGTGATATAGAAATCAACGGCACAGGGCCACCTTATATCTGCTTTAGAAAAATCTGAGTGAGGAAGAAAAATATATTAATGCAAGAGGTGGGTTGAAGTGGTGGGAGCTAAGGGTGGACAGGAGAAAATCTTTACGCAGCGCTGTATTCCCAGTGTACTTCATGTGACTCTTTGACTGTTAACTTTGAAGCAAAAAATTAAGTCTGAAAACTATAAAGGTGACAGGAAAGGAGCCACGCACAACATTGCACAAAGTACTTCAATTTGATGTAGAGAAAGATCAGCATTTCTAAGACTTGCAGATATTTGTCAACTACTACCCAAAAGTTTGCCATACAGATCTGTGTGTGATGCACACAACATTGACATTTCAAGACAGCTTCCACTGTAATTCAACTAGCTAAAAAAAGACAATGAGAAGGGAAATCTATACGCAAATTACTGATGGGACAGTATTCAGATGAGCTAATCAATTTACTGAAAACATTTTTTCTGCTAATTAGGAAAAAGGCCGTACTCCATGAACATTCATTAAACAATGATGGAAATTGGTTCTTTTAATTGCAGAAGTCACATGCAGTTATTTTCTTCCCAAGGAGTTTCCTGTTTTAGAAAGCAAAAAGGACATTTAACTGACTTTGCTTTTTTCCAAGTGGAAAATAACTGAGCGTCTCCAAACTCAGTGTTACTGGCAGTATCTCTAGAGGCTGTTGCTATTCTCAGTAACAAGGTAGGACAAGGTGCAGAGAACTATGAAATGACCTTGCTATTAGCTTTCCTCCTTGAGAGCAGAAGGAATACTATACCGGTGGATTTGTAACCTTCATTTCTGTGATAGCTGAAATTAAAATAAACACAGTTCTTCGAAAACAAAGGCCTTGGACTCGTTATCCAATAAAAATCATTTATTTTGGATTTCTGTCCCTTATGATGTCAGATTTTATTATTTTGTTTGATTATTTAAATTAAAAACCATGGAAGTATTGAGAAACTCACTCCTGCATTCCAGGGGGCAACTTCTCAAGAAATGCTAAGAACCCTAATTTGTAATGACAACTATGATTTTAACTAACTTCAGGTCTGGGTTTTTTTTTCCCCTTTAAATCAAATCAAAGTTAAATTATTTTACTGTGTGAACAAATCTAGACTATCTTCTCCTTTTTCTCAGTTGATCTTGCTTGATTTACTAACTTTCTGTCCTTCTGTCAGATGAAAAGGGATTATGAAAAAATATCAAGAACTTCCTGGACAAAAATGTAGTTTTTATAGCAAAAAATATACTATACCTGCAACAGGGATCATCTTAACACAAACTGGAATTTCCCACTGTTCCTTGTAGTTTAATCCATGATTATTCAGCAATGTAAATAATGACTGATTACTTAGAACAACTTGAGGGGAGTATTTCAAAGCAAGCTTTTCTGCATTTGAATCTGAACTAATATCCTAAACAACAAAAGAAGGTAGATTTTGAAAGGTTTTCAGGTAAGACAGGTAATTTAAATCTGTAAACAAACCAACAAACATGAATTAGCTCCACAGCTGCAGACACCCAACTACCACCACTGTGCCAGGCTTCAAAATCAAAGTAAACAGCTTTACAGTTTTAGCTGAATCCTACACCTCTACCTTGTAGCACAAGAAAACATATCTTGCCTTCTACCTTTCTATTAATTCCTAATAAATTGAATTATTAGGTCAAACAAGAACAAAGGAGTAGTGACATAAGGGAGTGCAATGCAAAAGAAAAAAGCAACACATTCACTCACATGTATCTCAGATGCTCTTAAAAGTAATAGCATCAAGGAGCAGCCTAACATTAAAGTATGATTAAAACTGCACATTTGTTTCAATGCAGATAGCCTGTAAAGAATGTCAAAGCAAATATAAAAATACGAAGAAAACAAATTCAGAATTGAAACAAAAGAAGTATAAAAATTATGAGTATGAGTTTCCAGGAAAAAAGAAGGTTGGGCATATTCATTAGGTGGGAGAAAACCAGTAAGAACCATGGAGATACTGGATGTTTGGGAGCATTAAGGGCCATGAAAGGTAAGTAAGAAAATCTAGCAGTGCTCTTTCTTTGTTCATCTGAGACAACATGAGAAATTGCTCTGAAAGTAATGCCCCCTATTTATTTCCATGAAAATTACACAGATATAAATAGCACAATAGCACTACATGATAGAACAAACACTCTGCTACAACAAACACTCTTTTTCAACATAGTGACCACCACTAGCTATGCATTTTTGCCAGCCACAGAGAAGAGCCTGCATGTCATTCTCCAGGCATGGCTGTCTGGAACAGAGTTCATCTTTCATGTTGCTGTTACCACAGCAGAAACACCTACTGCCTCATTGTGCTCACATCCACTGATTGGTCTCTATAAACATTCAGCAATTGTCAATGAAGGTCAATGGGTGCCATTTTTTTTCCCAGGGAGGAATTCAGTTCTACACCTTTGCTTAACACGCACTTCCACATCAGATGCCATCCTGTCAGACTGTCCCTGTGCTGCCATTTGTCACACAGCCACAAAACGTAACAGAATGTTGGCAGGAAGGTTCAGCCTGTACTGCCATACCACCAATATCCAGCTCTGACATTATGAGGCAAGATAATAAAATAGGAAGCACTACTTTCAGAGCAGATCTCATATTTTACAGATCCAACAGCTTTTGTGGAATATTATTTTCCTGTGTCATCTCTACTGCTTTCTTAACCAACAAACTTCTTTGCAGTCATAATACCTCCGTTGACAGGTTGGTTTCTGATACAGAAACAAACTCTTCAAATAAGTGCACAGCAAACTATCTGAAATAAATAGTCAAAAAACAAGTTCTGCAGAATGAGCAAAACAAATCCATTTCTCAACACAAACAGCAACACTGGGTATTTAACAGTGAAGTAGAATGGAATCTATGAATTGCTCAACTCAGGAATGCAATTTATATTGCTTAGCAAAAGCGACAGTTAGATAAGGGACACCTAACTCACTCTTCAGAAACTGAGGAGCCTAAAATATTTCTCGACCATGATGCACCAGCGTAACAATTGTGATAAACCAATTTTGGAAGAAGGCAGTATGACTGCTGTACATTAACTACTACACAAACAACGACACAGTGTGCACCACCACACTACAAGATGTGTAAGATTAAGATCAAAATGATGAAATTATGCAGCCACAGAAATGAAATGGTTCTTTTCTCCAATATGTGCCATAAAAATGACAATAAAAATGCTACTTACATTGTGGATAAGAGAAGCCTTTTTTTCTGGAGTTATAATAGATGTAACGGTTTTATAATCTGTGCAGAGCTGAACAGGCATGGCAGGGAATGCTGTCTTAGCATATCTTGCTGTACCCTTGAAGAAAATCAAGCAGTACCAGGAAACAATATTAAATGAAATCATGATGACCCAACATTCCTCTTTTTGTGACGAAAATTATTAAGAACTTATGGAGGTGCAAGTTAGTGTTATGTCAGGAATTAAAGAAGTACTATTAACATCACATTTTTAGGGAGCACACAATAATTAACAGCCTCTCTGCCAGAATAACTCCATTAGTTTTACTGAATCTGTGTATAGTTCTACCTATTTGAGAATAACACCAGAAGAATAAGTGTACATAGGATATTACCATTACAAGAAGATTTTTTTCCAGCTTAAAGGTCAATTGCGTGTTAAATTTTCCTCCCATGATGCTCATTATCTCATGTAATGTGTAAAACTCAGGATACTTTTTCACATGTCCAATACAAGCCCTGAATAATTCCTAACAGAAACAAACAAAACAAAAAAAAAGCATTTGTATATTTCATAAGAACTTGAATATCTTTATTTTCTGCATCTGCAATAGTTACATTAGCTTTACTTCCTGTAAAGAATACAGAAACATTCAGCAGATCACATACTTGTTCAACCAATATAACCCCGTAACAATCTTACAATCACTGGTAGCAGAACTGAAATACATTCTGAATTCCCATCAGCCCTCCACAGGCAAGACTACAATATATGCATGCAGGCTTAAATCAGTTAAAAAACAAAAACAAAAAGCAAACAAAAAAAACTCCCACTAAATTCAGAAATTTGTTAGAAAAGGTCATTATTTGGCTTTCAAGGGTTTTTTTTTTGCCATTGTTTAATTTTTCCTTATTTTTACAGGGAAAACTGGTTCTTTGTATTACTCACTACCTAATTTTATACCAGCCTGGGAAAAAGCTATAAAGGTAAAGACATAGAAGGATTTATATGTATTCCAACTTGCTTTCCTGTCAGAAAGCATTTCTGTTTTAATCTGCTGTAGGAAGTATTATGGCACTTACTAGAAGAGACAGGAATTTTAGTAGAAAGTATTTAACTACAACACTTTAAATAAGGCATCACACTGCACTAAAATAAATAAATAAATAAAAAATCAACAGCAAGTCAGCAAGTCAACTCAGTAATGTGAAAGCTGATCAAACCTGCATTCTGGAATTTCTTACCCAAAATGTATCAAACAAAGAAAGACAGATAAATTACATTTGTGTTCAATTGCACAATCATCAAACTGGTGATTTAACACAGTACAAATTTCCTGACAGCTATGATTACAGCCTGATTAACCTCTGATTAAAGTGACTTTGCAACATACTTCATGTTTTGCTCAATATATGCCCTAGTAGCATACATTCAGTATCAACTTGTCAATATAAACACACTTACAGTGTAATTTCTTCCTTCACAAATATAAAGATCTCCTGCACTGTAATGCTGACTATCTTCATACTGTATTGTATTCAACAACCCTACTCATATCCTGTGTTACTGCCCCAAACTGTGGACCAGGCTGTGCTGGACAGCATCAGTGGAACAGCAACCTTTCATGTCTCGCTCCAACTTCAAATCAGCAGCTCTGGGAAACTGCATCCCACAAGCAGTGTGTATGCAACTTCATCACAATTTCAATATCATTGTTGAAAAGCAGAATTAAACAGAGCATCAGTAATTACCTCAGTATAAAGCAGAGCATCTTCAGAAATACAATCATAGTCCTGAGTACAGCTCTTCGCAGCATTTTGGGCGAACTTCATAAATTCTGCAACCTCACTGTTTACTACTTCTTTCATTTGCTGTGGGGAGAAAAAAAAAAACAAACTCATTTCTAAGACACAATGGAATCCTAGGCTAGGTATGTGAACAGCAAAATCTCCAGAGATGTAGCACAGGTGATGGTAATGAGGAAGGGCACAGCTTCCACTTGCTGATATCTGGCAAGTCTTCCCATGCATTTAGTTTCACTTAAGTAAAAAAGAAACTCTGCAACATTAGGTCTGCATCCTCTAAATACCAAGCAGGCTTATTTTGACCATGCATAGGTGGTTTAAATAAAACAGAATTAGAGAACACTGGTGGAGCAAGTTTACATGATAGAATGACAAAGGTATCTGAGCTCTGACTTGATAAGCATTACGTTGTAAGTAACAGCAGTGCAGTAGGTATTGATCTGCTTAGAAAAGACACTCCCAGTGATACAGTGCAGAACAAAGGAAGTGGCATTAATAATGATGCACTGTACACCAAGTAGTACAGTTTGAAAACATTTACCACATACAGGATTCAGATAAAATAAAACGTACATTAAACAGAGTATTTACACATTGCTGACCGAGCAGTAAGTGTGGACTTGAGCATTTCTACTACAAAAAGTCTGAATGTGGCAAGCATCTAAGGTCAACATGCAGGTTTTCTCACATGCTGATGAAGAAAGTTCTGAATGCAGAATCACAGAATTGTAGGGGTTGGAAGGGACCTCTAGGGATCATTGTGTCCAACCCCCAAATACAGGGTGTTGACAAAAATTGCATCAAAATATCTGAACCTAAAAGGAGGTTCAGACAAATAGAATTTGAAAATATTTCTGATACATTTTTGTTTGCTCTTCAAAGCTGAAGAAGTTGTACAACTCTCCTCCGTGATATTCCTATGTGTATATACACACATTTACACTTACCAGATACATCAGTAACTCTCTTTGACTTGCTGCATTGAGAGGAAAATGATTTGGTGTTTTTGAGAACTTAGTCATCAGATATAAATATGTTTTCTGCTCCTTCTCAGTCAGACAGGAGGTAAATGGATAGGGAAGTCTAGGTTCTGGAAAAGGATGATCATCAGTTGTGGTTTTAGTCACCACTCCAGCTGCATTTGTAGCCTGTATGTTACCAATCTGTTTGTTTTCTGAAGAATTTGCCAATATCTCCACATCTTTCTTTGCCAATCTGAAAGAAAAGTAACAAGTGAAAGAACTGACATACTTTTACCTAGAAAATAGTATCTGCCAGAACTATATGATAAAGGCAGTCACAAAACTGTAAATTTCAAATTCAGCAAAATGCACTCTACCACTCCAACTTACAGCCTACACTCTAAGAATTTTCCTATTCCGAAACTTCATGTGAGCCAAACTTACTTTTAGAACCAACAGCAGCTTTGCTACTGATTTCAATTAAAAACAAAAATAAACGCACGTATTCATTTACATAATGGATATTGAGGCAAAAAGGTACATTCAAAACTGATGGAGTGCTCTGGAAAAACACATTAACAGTGAAAAGGTACAGTTTCAACATTTCCTCATGATAGTGGGTATTTAGAAACAATTTGCACTTGGGAAGGTCTATCTTATGAGTAAAAGTTGTGATAATAAAGGAGAAAAACTAAATACAAAAAGCTTTTCTTTTACTGCAAAAGAAGTAAAAGAAAAGTACTTCATTTTAATGACAGGAATCCCAGATTTCAGTGAAAATTTTTCCCAAGAATAGGGTATACAAGTTTCATTTTCATTTCTGAACACTGACGGAAATCAGTGGCTAGAAATTACATTGGGCTAAAGTAAGAAATACTAATGGCCCTAACAAAAACAAAGCAGTAACATCAAAAAGCTGGTTCTTATAATGACTCCAGTAGGTGAAGGCCATCTCTATCCTAATCTATTTGAAGTGTTTTTCAGAAATAAGATATTAAAGGTTAACAAAATGAACATTAACTGTTGATCCTGGAGAAAACATATTTTTAAAATACAATTTCAGCAGGAGAAAATACCTACCTCAAGTGTTATTCGAACCCAACAGTATCATATTTACAGTTCTTAATAATACTTCACAGCTGTCTCTCTGAATATGAGAATATGTCCATCCCTATGGCACAACCTGGCAAATTTAATTAAGCTGCAGCAGCAACAAGATGCTGACTCAGATACGCCAATGTTAAAATGTCAAGAAATTCTAGCAGCTTAAATTGGCTGTATTCAGCAACGAATGAAATGGCAGCACATCAAGATCATTTCAGTATGCAGTGCTGTCACAGTCTTCATCAGGGTGCAAACAAAAATAATCTGACAGAGCTTTTCTGTCCACATTTACAGCATTATACTTTATTTGAGCTGACGGCTTAAATTTTCCCCCTTCATTTTATCAGCAACCTGCCTTCACAGCTTCTATGGTGAGTGAACATATATGTTACTAAATATTTATCACAAATCTCAATATACAAATTGACATGTTTGTTCCAGCTCTCACGTCCACATTTGCACCAACAGGTTACATTTCTTTTCCTCTTCCTGATGGCCACTCAACCCAACCCACTGATATCCTTATGTTATTGTTGCAATCTCTTTCTGGCTATAAGCTCACTTCTATCCAACAGAAGTGAACATAATCTCACTCCTAAGTATAGTCATACCTACTCCAGAAACCCTTAACAGCTGAAAGGAGATTAAAAAAAAAAAAAAAGAAAAAAGAAAAAAATACAAAGCCTAAATATCATATAATATTCCAGCTATTGAAATCTTGCAGTGTGAGTCCTGTGCTTTTCATCATGCCAAAGAAAAGTTGATTCTATTTCCGCAATTTAAAACAAAAGGCATCAGAAGTGTGCAGGCAGTACCATCTATGCCAAAATGATTTGCGTGCACAGCATTTCAGCTCCTATTGCTCGTCTAACACTTCATACAATTCCTTGAGTAGTCAAGAAGCTAAATGCAACTCCAGGGCAGCTATTGATTCTATCTAAATAGTGTTGGCTACTTCCAAAAGATACAAGTAACAGGATTTCTGTGTACAGTATCATCAGCCTGGTACAAAGTGAGATCACAAGAGACCAACAGCAGGAGATAAACACATGAGACTGGGTTTTGGTTCACAGGTTACAGAATCTTTGTGAGGACTAAGTGCTTCAAAATTTTTGGTCTGCAAAACCAAGCAAAAAAAAAAAAAAAAAAAAGACACCAAACGGCCACAAAAAAACTCAACACAACCCTCCCTCCCCAGAACAAAACAAATCCCCACAAAGAAAAGCTCCACCTCTCAAAAGAGAGAAAAGACCACAGGTCCCATCCTAAACTCCCTCTGCTTCCTGAGGCACCTCACGGGTAAGGCACAGAGCAGCCACTACAAGGCAAGGCACTCCTCACTGGGCAGCACGCAGCTGTCTGCCAGGCAGTAACTGCACGTGTGTACCAAGAGAGTGATGACAAACAGCACCCAGTCGTAACAGAATGTACCTGTTGGATAAATTCCACAGTTCCAAGAGGCTCGGAGCCAGGGAATATTTTTCATACGTTTCACGTGAGAAAAACACTTCTTTGCCATTTTTGGGTGAAACATCCCTGTTGATAAAAAGAACGCTGTGATATATAACATTTAAAGACAAAAATCTGATCCCAAGAAACAAAGAGCAGTATTAATTACAAAAAAAAATTACAAAAAAATACAAAAATCAGCGCCCATCACTACAGCGCTTTCCCATTTCTTCTCACAGAATATATTTATACCACACCTAACACCCCGCTGGTTTTCAACACTAAGATAAGCACTCGTTCCACAGCCCCAGATTAACTCGGTGTCAGGTCCGTGGCAGAGGCGCAGTTTGAGCCCTCAGCTCCCAGATGGCACCAGCCCACACACAGCGACCGCAACTGCGGGCAGAACGCAACTCCGGAGACTGCTTTCCACACAGCTCCTGAACGGCCGTTTTTCCACGGGAAGCAGCCCTTCCTACAAGGTCAACTAAGCTACTCTGAAGGGTGCTAAGAAAGATTTATTTCCGTCGCCTTCGGAGATGAACTCAAAAGCACTTCATCTAGGCTTTTTTTTTTTTTTTTTTAAAGTTTATTCTTTTCGAGAACGAAACGAACGCCATCAGCACTGAACAACGAAGGCAGCCGCCTCCCCTCAGCGAAGCCGCGACTCCTACTCCCCCACCACAGCGGCACAAAATGGCACCGCGCAGCCCCCACCTCCAGCCCAGCGGCGGGGCGGAGCGGACACGAGAACCCAGGCCCGCCCCGCTCTCTCCTTCCACCGCGCATGCGCACAGCGCGGCGGCATTGAGACCCCTGGGGTATTTTCCCTCCCTCCGCTCCTCAGATGCACCTCCGCTCAGCTACAGGGAGAGAGCGGGACTGTACTCACCAACTCAACAGCTGTCCTTCAGCCGCCATCTTAGAGCGCCTCACAGGGAAAGGACCCGCCGGTTCATCGCTTCGCTGCCGGGCGGGCCGGCCCTCATGGCCTTGGCCAATCAGCGTGTAGGCGCGCGGGAGCTGATGCTGTGAGCCAGCCAATGGCTGCACGGCTCGAGCGGTTGCTGGAGGCGCTGCGGGTGGCCATCTTGTGGCGGGCTGCAGCATGGAGGCGAAGCTGCGTAGGGCGGCTTGAGGCGTTCTGTCGTGTTCACCCTAGCCTGTTCGCCTTTACCTCGGGGTGATGAAGTCTGTCTAAGGCCTTTCGGCACCGACTCTTACGCTTTGCTAAGGTGTGGTCCTGACCAGGTGTCATGTGCCTCGCGGCGCCTGTTCCCGCCCTGGGTGTGTTGAGAAGCCGGGCTGGGCTCCACAGAGCGGTTAGGCCCTCGGGTTGGGATTGTGTGAGGGCTGTCTCAGGGTAGCTGCACTTCCCAGTTTCTCTCTTCTTTCCCCGTGGGCTTTCAGTTCCTTGGCTTGCTTCCCGATAGTTACCATCAGGGCAGAGCCACAAAAAATCAACTTTTTTTTTCTTCTTTTTTTTTTTTTTTTTCCTTTCTGATGATAAGGCTTTTCAGTGTGGTAAAATGTGGAATTTATACATTGTCTATCTGTAGGTTCAGACAATGGAAACCTGTGGCATTATAAGAAAAGGTGATCCCCTTTTCAGCTCAACAGATGGAGAAATAAGGGTTTGGGGTATTGCAGAATGAAAGCATTGAAGCATTCACTGCATCCAGTCCTGTAACTGAAACTGGGGACTGCATGCTAATACGTGAAGATACTGAAATTCAAGGTTACTTAGAATACTTCATTCAGATCTGGGCCCCCAGCACAAGCGCATGGAGCTGTTGGAATAAGTTGAGAGGAGAGCCGTAAGGATAGTTGTTGGGCTGGAGCACCTTTCTGGTGAAGAGAGGGGCTGAGAGAGTTGGGGTTGTTCAGCCAAGAGAAGATTCCAAGCAGACCTTACAGTCTTCTAGTACCTAAAAGAACCGCTAGGCAAGCTGTGGAGGGACGCTTTGTCAAAGAGTGTAGTGAAAGGACAAGGCATAATGGCTTTAAACTGAATAGATGTAGATGAGACATAAAAAAGAGGGCTGTGAGGTTGTGGCACAGGCTGTCCAGAGGAGCTGAATGCCCCTTCCCTGGAGGTATTCAAGGCCAGGCTGGGTGGGGCTTTTGGCAGATCTAGTGGGATGTGTCCCTACACTTGACAGATGGTAGAAACTATGTGGTCCTTTAAGGTGCCTTCAAAGTCAAGACACTGTGTAGTTTTATGATTCTGTGTCCAAAGCCACCAACCAGAGAGTCTCTACCTAGCTTGCAAGGACACTGTCTAATTTCAGTTCTTTTGTTTGTTTGTTTATCTCAGACAGAGGCAGAAAGGTTTTTATCTCCCATTGGTGATAAAAACAGAATCACCCAGAGCCCAGTCATGGAGTTAGCCTTAGAAGGAATAATCTTTCTTCAGAGCTGAGGTATGGTGAAGTTTACATAGCAGAATTAGAAGACTTATCCAGCTTGTGAATGTGTCGTTAAATCCAACTTTAGTCTACCATCTTCCTAAATTCTGTCCATTTTTCAATTGAAGTTATCTGCTTCCTACATGTGATTTTTGTACTTCTGTGACATAAGCATTAACATCAGGAAACAATTTCTTGCTGTGAGGGTGACCTAGCACTGATAAAGGTTATCCAGAGAGGTTATAGAGTCTCTTCCTTGGAGATACTCAGAAATCAGGGAAATCGGAACCTTCCCCTCCTCTTTATCTAGTGAGGATGTATCAAGCTGTAGCCCAATATGTAGTATGAACCTGGACCTGGTTCTGAGAAAGCTACTCAGGGATGGCCCTGTTTGAGCAGGAGATGGATCTCCAGATGATCTGACCTGCAGAGGTCCCTACCAGCCAAACCCATACTGTGATTTTGTGACATATACTGGGGATCAAAAACCACATTCTAACCCCTGGTTCTGCTTTCCTATTGGCAAGCAAGGGAATCCCTGATTTGTCTCTTATTCCTCTGTTTTATTATGAACAGCTGTCAAATTTTCTGAAGGTTAGGACCTCTCCTGTGAATTGAGAGATTGGGGAGGAATCCTTTCTTGAGGGTGAGAAAATTAAACCTGGACTTTCACTGTCTTAGTGTTTATGTCATGAAGCTGCTGTAGAACGAATGGCACTACAGTTCTAGGAAAGCTATGGCTTCCATAACTTTCCTGACTTGATCAGTAGGCGATGGCTTCTTCCACATTTAGTGCTTCAAAGCAGAAAGCTAACACCTAATTCTGGATCGCAGGCCGGCAACCTAATACTGAGCTGTTAAAGCTCTGTCAAGATGAAGTGTTTTTGGGTAGAAGTCTAAGTAGAATTTTACATGTACAAAATCTTAAAATGGAAACCAAAGGTACTGCTGACATTTAGGTGGTTAGCACACCAGAGGAGGCTTGCAACTCTGAATTTTGATGCCTAAATTACATGCAAATTTTAACTGAATCCTCTCAAATCTAGCCCAGAGCACCATCTCCAAATTCACTGGGAATATTCTAAGACAAATTTCTTCTATTGTGCGCTTGACACAATGTACTCTGATGTAGAACAAGATGACATTTTCAAAGAGAAGGAAACTGGATTGATCCAAGGTAATTCTGAGGATATTTACACTCTTCTTGGCCAAAAGGAGAACTTACAAGGTGTTTGGGAATCTTCACATTTCCTTGCTGTCAAACATTACTTTATTTACCTAACAAAAAACTGACATATGTGCCAAGAATCATGGCTCATTTTGTAAGGGTGGATTCCTTAAAAACTGAACCTAACACACATCAAGATTCAGAAGAACAAAAAGGTGCTACTGACAATAAAAAAAAAAAAAAAAAAAGCAAGACAGATTTTTCCATTAGAAGCTGAAGTTTTATTACAGGATAACAGTACATAAAGCACATCTAAAATCGATGTGTTCAATGCACTTAATAAAGGTAATGTAATATTAAAGGTACAGTTTCTAAGTACAATATAACAACATTCATATTAGAATGAAAATTGGAGTATTTAAAAGACAACATTAAATCTCTTATTTTTACAGTCGTATTTACAAAATGAATCAAAATACTTTTTTTATCGGGACTGAGTAAAATAACAAACTGGAATATAAGCAGGCTATCATAAGAGTGAGTTGGAAAGGTCCATGAAAGTGAGAAGTTAAGTGACTGGGTAAAGATCATTAGCAAAGGTTTAGTACAATACCACTTTAGTATTCCTCTTGATGGCTTACGTTTTATGGTGGCTAGAAAAGGAATTTGTACATACTGTACACATAACAGACAGCATACATTTACATGTACAGTATAATTTCATTTAAAGTTGTGTGTATTTACAGAAATCTGAGCATATCACTCAACGAGGTTTCTGAAGTTTATGTGCTTAATCCTCAAACTGACATGTATTTGTAATCAGTATTTATTCTGGTTTTGTTACGTTGAACATTTAGTCAACAGGGAAAATATGTTAACCAAATGATTTTGCATAAAGATATCAAACTATTAAAATTAAAATAATAGGAAGAACTTGTTCCTAGCATTACGTATAAGTTAGTAAATACAAATTTAAGTGCGACTCCTTTTCTTTTTTAAAATATCAAAAGGTGACTTAAATCAACAAGGGAAAACAAAATTGTCATGGCTTATATTTAAATAAGATTGTAGCTTCAAGAGGTTTTTATAATTATCCTGATAGTGTTTGCAATTAAACATTCCACTTATGAAAATATACCCACGGTGCAGTAAAGTTTGTATTTTATTTTTAGGACAACAGTATGTTTGCTGTTTAAAAAAAATTATTTATATATATATATTCCTTGAATTGAGGGTATAAAAGCAGTGCATGGAAGCCAAGAATCATGGCTTTAAAATTCACTACCTTCTATTATCAAAAAGTGCAGTAAACAGAAACAATTGTATTTAATAAATTGCTCAAAAATCTTTGCTAAAGATCTTATAAATTCAGTAATATTACAGAAAAATTCTAATAAATATTTAAAAGGTTAATTACCTCCTTAGTTAGATATTTGATATCCATCAGTTTTTAAGAATTAACACAAAAACAGTATCTAGAATGAAAGGAACAAGGGACAGGAATAATTTTAAGGGTACGTGACTATGTAAATTAAGGTATACATGACAAATCAAAACAAAACCCCCAGACCTGACAGAATGTTGCAAATTCCACTTCTTAGTTAACTTCAGTTGCTAATGGCTGACCTCAGATATGTATGCATGATTTATAAAGCATACCCAAGGACCGAATTTAGCCATCAATCTGTCACGGCAGATTTACAGAAAATTCCTATTTACAGTAACTGGAGTTAAGCGTGTAGGCATGGCCTAGTGACATCCACAGTTTGAGTGTGTGCAGATCCTATTTAAAGTGAAGAGGGAGGAAGGCACCCCTCAGAGTGCCACAACCAGATAGTACTTTCCGAGCAGCCAAAGAACTACCTCCCTTTCAGACAGACAGCATACTGTAAATGCTTTATTCTTGTAGATTTGATGCTTTTGTTTTTTCTGATACAACACAGGCAGACTGCTTTAGTAACCAAAAGATAACAAACTGGACAGAACATTTTTATTAATGTTAATAATGTAGAAAACAATTCTACATTTGATATCAAGTATCTGTACCGGTGAAGTAATTTTCTCCTTATTAAATATACTATAGAATAATTTATATAATGACACTATGCGTTTAAAGAGAGAACCATGTCCCAAATCTTGTACGCTGATACAGGTACGTGTTGGGCATATGTAGGTGTATATATATATATACACAAATATATATATATTTATATATAGTTATACTCAGTGAAATTAACAAGACCCAAAGGTGGTATTGTCTAGGAATAAAAGGGGTTTTTGTTTGCTTTTGTTCACAAAAGTAACTTATCTAGCACCACACATCAGAAAAACACAAAAATAGCACACTCTAGTTCTAAACAGCTATGTCTAAAATAGATTATATAGTAAAACAGATATTATACAGCATAATGTGGTATTTGATAAACAGATAAATATTTGCACTGTGTAGGCTGTTTATAGTATAACTTTATCTATACAGAATGAAAGCAAAAAGTTAACTGTATAGAGGTGAGCAGAACAACATTAAATATTATGACTCCAAAGCAGAGACGAAGTTAAGAGTTGAAAGAATAGAGCAAGATAAAATGTTTACAGGCCATTACAAGTCCTTAAATTAGTAGTAAAATAAGGAATCAGTTGCTCAAGTTTAAGAAAGCAGTAAACAAGAGATTGCATTTACATGCAGATGTCTAAAACTTGTATTTCTTTTAAATCTATGCACAAAAAGTCATTTGTTTTTATTGCTTGACATTCAGTTATGGCTAGAGTATTTTTTAACCTTTTTCGTACTTTGGAAACAAGAATATTGTTAAAGGTGCCATAAAAATGGACAACATTGAAAACAGTTTGCAAATAAACCACCTAACACTGCAGTTCTTTATACATTTTAAAAAGCCTTGTCTGGGGTTTGTCGTATGTTAAATATATTTAAACTGGGAAAATACATTGTAGCTTGAAGCCTCCCATTGGCCCAAACGTCCAATACAAAAACACATCTCCAGAAAAGGAGCAGGCAAGACAGTACAGTTACATATATAGAAGCAGCCAGTTAATGTCCTAATATTTCAAATATTCACCACTGTTCTGTAACTTGTTTCTAAATCAATGTAGAAATGAGGAACATTTTGGATTTAGAAAAGTGTACAGTACGTATGCCTTTTTGTGAAATAAAATTCACTGTATTGCTTATGAATTCTCTGCATTAGATATGATAGCATTACAGATTGCAAATTCCTGTAAAGTTTATGCATTTACATTAAGACTCTGTGGGGTAATTTAGGGTAGTGTTTCTCAAACTGAAAGTCACAACCGCTTGAAAATTGCTAAAGTGTTCAGATTACTATCACAAAACTGTACGTCAGGCAAACGTGGCTCGGTACTGCGTCAATTGCAGCAGCTCCGTTCAGCACTGCAGACGAGCACGCTGGGCAGGGAGCTCATCCTGCTCACTGCATGCAGCTCAGCTCCCAGCGAGGAGGAGCAGGAAGAGCTGGCAGTTGGCTATTGCAGAAGCCATAGTTACTGCTACTCAATACCAGCTCAGTTGCTTCGTTAGAAAAGACAGCCGGTAATTCCAGCTGATTCTCACTGCCTAACCCAGAAAAAGGACGTATGTCAGTTCCAACACATAGAGCCCTATGAAAAAATAGAGCCCCCAGGGAGTGTGCTTTCAGAGAGCTTGAGAAACACTGACTTACAGGAAAACAAGTGTACAAAGGACATAATAAACACTGAAAACATGCAGGTGTTAACAAAAAGGTGTGGTGTCACATGTCAAGTTGAATAACTTGATTGTAAAGTTCAGCTTGAAGAAGTAATGAGATTATGAGGGAAGACAAAAAAGTGAATATTGTGGCATAACAAAACTTACAGATACTGATCTGAAGCCTTTATCATGTTTTATTTCTTATTTGGATAGCCTACTTATTGCTATAAAGTTATTGCTATATTCTACCGATGATAAAGGCAAAAAAAAAACAACAACAAAAGAAGACAAACAGCAACATTACATATGAAATAGGTAGAATACAGCTTTTATTTTGATGTTAAAGTTCTATTTAGTACCTGAATAAAGTTCCAAAAATAGACAGTATATTAACCTACATGTTAGATATTCTTCCCCTCAAGTCCAGTGACTTAGCATTGTTTAGTGAGCTATTAACACAGTACTAGGATTAAAGCACATACTGCAACAATTTTTTGACAAATACTCATTTTCAACTTCTTGTTGTTGTTGTTGTATTTGGTATCCTTATACATTTGCCCTCATTTCCACCAAATGATTTACTGACAGGAATATTTAAGCAAAAAGAAAATAGCAGGTTAAAATTCAAATATATTCATGGAATGCAACTTTTAAAGTAATGTTAGCATTAATGATGAAGATCTATTTTGAGTAGTTACTGATCTCCAGCTAAGAAAAATAAATAAAGATGCTTCCTCTTTGCAATCTAAATCAGCTAGCACAGGTAGGATTTCAGATCATGCTAAATACTAAGAGCAAATTGCTTCTTATTTTGGGATATTGGATAGTAAGTGTTGTTTCTAACATTTGTATTAATAAATTTATCTACTTGGGGACTTCAAGAATTTGCAGGAAAAAATCATACGTTGTTTACACAGCTTGGACTGGCAACCTGTTTGTTCAAGTACAGACTGGGGAATGTCTGTGTCAATCCTTAGAGCCCAAAAGAAAGTACTGTCACGTTTGGATCACTCCCTACAAAGTCATCTGTAGATTGCACAAATTAGCAGTATGTTTCATTGATCAGCAAGTATGTGTAAGATACTTTCTGTTGGGAATCAACAGTAGCGGGGATTTTCTTGTAGCGGTGATACCAGGACACCAACTGATCAAGAGTCACAGTTGCTAAGCAACATCTGCCTTAGGCCATTCCAAGCTAAGCTAGAGGGTCAGCTTGGGAAATATTGAGAAAGGTTTCCCTAATTATTAGCAACATAAACAAATGGAAGCCACAAATCCAGTGGAAAAAAAATCCAAAACCTCAACCTAAGATACCGGAGAACTGATATTTTTTGCAAGAAAAAAGCCATGTTTTTCACTCATTTTTCAGAGAATTTCACTCTCTTCCTGATCTAACTGAAGTCTTGAAATCTTGCTCATTTTGTACACAGTTGCTTATTTAATTTCCTACTTGTGTTTTCAAAAGGATGTGAAGTCACAGAACAAGACTAATTGTGATAGGCTCCCAGCATCACAAAATTTGGCACTTAGACACTTACTAGACTTCGCTGTTTTTTGCAACTGTTGTGATCATTTTAAATTGCTGCAACTGATGTACGAGATACGAAAATGACTTCAGTCTTTTCGTTTCCTTCCAGTCTTTTTTTTTTTTTTCTATACCATGAAGCATAAGAGACAGTGAGAGACAAGGTCTGAACTTTTGTTGTTCTCATAGTCTATATGACATTATTGCAAAATCTAATAACTGCCTTTCCAGTCATATTGTACTACCATAAACTGCTTTGTTTCGTTTGACAATCATTTAAATACTGAAAACCAATTTTCTATTGCAAAACATTGAAATTAATTTGGAAAAACACTCCAATGGCTATAAAAACATCCAGAGGTTGTTTAAATTAAATTTCAGTTGTGAACTATTAATGGGCCAGCATTAATTTCCTTAAGTACAACTGCAAAACCTTTGCATCGTTTGGAGTATTTTTGTTTTTTACAAAATAAAGACCAATGAGCAGATATTCTGCAGGACTGCATACAGAATGAGGCACACATTGAGCATTCGGTTAAAAAGAAATCTGTCCAGTTTTTTTGTGCCTGCGGGGAGAGGGAGAAGGGAAAGGAAGAAATACTTGCATTTTTTTTCTTTTTTTTTTTCTTTTTTCTTTTTTTAAAATAATTTGTCCCACCAGTAGTACTGGCCACCCTGTTGAAGAGTTTTAGAAGATCCCTGAGCACATTAGTTTCTGACTCTTAACCCCAGCTCCAAAACGATAGGGCTTCTGTTGTTGATAACGAGATGGATTGTCATTCACAGTTAAGTCAATCATAAGGTGCTTATATATTTACCCTTTTTTTCACCAATCAGCACAAAGAACTGTCAGAAAATAACTTTTATTTTTCTTTTTTAAATAATAAAAGGGCACAAAATTATTAAACAATCAAAGTTTTGTGACAGTGGTTTAGGATTATTATCTGGCTGCCCCTCGACAACAGACAAGTGATTCAATCGACATTCCTTAGCAAAAAAAAAAGAAAAAAAAAAAAGGCAAAAAAAAAATCCTGTACAAATATGTATTTTTCCCTGAGGGATCAAGGTTACACCCGCAAGTGCTCTATGTACATATTGCACTGTAGAGGAATGAAGAACATGTGCAAAAAAAGCAACAATGATTGAAGCTTACTAATCAAACCTTTTAATCATGACTGCTATGTCATCTTGCATTTTGGAATGTCGGAACACAGCTATTCCTTAAATCTACAATGTAAAAAATGAAAAAAAAAAAGAAAAGAGAAGAAAAGAAAAAGAAACACACACCTCTACTATGGCACATTCAATGAAATAAAAAGTTTTCCAAAGACAAATAGACAAATTCCATCAAGAAAATAATACAAAGTTCGTTCATTTGTTTTTTTTTTCTGTTTTTTAGAAAAATTACATTACTTTCTTTCATTGTTTCACATTACAAAATCTTTTTTTTTTTTTTTAATGTTTACACAAATCACATTTTATTGCAGGAATATTTCAAGTGCCATCAAATATTTATAGAAGGGTTAAAAAAATAGAAGTCTCTCTAAAGTGGTCCAGACAAGGCTTTGTATAGAATAAATCTTTTTTTCACCTTCTATTTTTGACTTAAGTATTTTGAATACATTTTCTTTTTCTCCATTGACACTTACCAGCCTAGAAGCAGCCACTCACACACACCCACACACACATCATGTGCGCACACAACGCTACTCTCTCACACACACAGGTAGGTGCACATACACACACAGAGATCTTGGTATCCATACTAAGATAGACAAGCTTTAATAAAGAGCAACCAAACTTAAGAACAGCCTCCCTTTTCTCCTAATCCCATCGTTTTTAAGAGTCAATCAGTGTTAGAGATGTTGAGGTGTATTAAGGTAGTTCAAATGCCAGTATACTGTACTACCTCTTTTCTAGAAAGCCCAGGAACATCTCTGTGGAAAGATGAAAACCCAATGAAAAGCTCTTCGCAGACTCTAGCGTACAATCATTCAGTAGCAATGTACTACTTTGTCTTCAGCTGTCCTCACGTTTTTGTTTGTTGTCAGCTGGACAGATCGTGAAAATACTTGTGTGAATCCACTTACTTCCAATATGCTTTTTTAAACTGAATATTGTGTTGATTGTCTGACACCAGGCCATAGTCGCAGAGGTTCTGCAGAGTGCATTTCCACTGCTGCACACAAGTTCTTCCATGGCAGCCATTCTGACCAGCCACTCTGAGGCTATTTGACATCCCCTTTGCCTCATAGGCAACCGCAGTCTTTTCAGTATGTCTGCCATGCTGTATCCCCTTTTCCCCTCTCTATGCCAAGCAAAATGAAACGAGTAATAGTCTCTTGCCAAGTGGCTGCTAGCTGTGTTCAGGAAGGCAGACTTACTGGGGTATGTACACACAGCCTGATTTTAAAAGGTGCTAGTTGTCCACAGGGACTCCCCTTGACAAAAATGACAGCATGTAGGTGCTGCACAGCCTGGAATGAAAGATCATGTCACAAGCCAATCCTGGATACAACAGGCTTTCAACTAAGGCCCCATGTGGAACCTTTCTACACTTATGTATTTTGTTATTAAATACTCCAAAATTCTGTGTTGTCAATGACTTAAGGGTGTAAATACTCTGAATTAGATACCAAACAAAACCACTGGTATCTACAGGCCTGCTAAAGTAGTAATATTAATCAGGAATAGATAAGTAAAGGATGTGACTGAAAATTAATCCCAAAGTATTTTGCCTGGTAGTCTACTTATTGTCAAAAGTAGGAGCTGTATCTTTCTCTCTAAAAAAGTACGAATCTTACCTCATTATTCATTAGTTGACACTGAAATTAAGTTTAGTTGATCTTTAAAGGACTAGCACCTAGGGCTGGTCATATTCCGAAAACGTCTGTTTGTTAAAAAGACTGCTTTAAAAATAGGAGCACACATTGGAATCAAAGTACCGTATCATGCCAGCTACTCCAATAAAGTAAACAATGATTCTAGGAAAAGTCTATCAGCGAGAATGCAGTCAGTGTGCGGGGCTGTGAGCTGCCTCCTTGGAGCAGCAGGATGGAGCAGCATGAGGCTGGCTTCCTCAAGCCCACTCGTGCCTCCATCCAGGTACTCACAGAGGTGCAGGTGTTCCTGTGCCGTTCTCCAGGGCTACACTGCTTTGAAGGGCAGAGATGCCGTGTTCATCTCCTCAATTTTGAACCATATAAACGGATGAGAGCCAAGCGCTATGATGAAACACTAATAGATCTTGTGCTCCTGTGGCTCAATTTGATCCCAAAGGTAAAATTTTCAAATCATAGAATAAAACTTACTGTTTTAGACTACTAGCCTAGTTCTACCTCTCTTCAGTGTGCTTCTGTTCTTCAGTTCAGTGTTACTTCTCAGTGACTAATGTAACAGATTTATTATTTTTGGAAATTAAAGCAGTGGAGCACATTCTTTTTTTTTTTTTTTTTTCCCCTTGCAACATATTTCATCAGAAAGTTACAGGCACACAGGCCTACAAGCCTCCTGGTTGTATTTCCTCATCTCATCCAAAGCAATTACAGACCTCTGGCTCAAACAGTCACAGTTTATTTTGTGATATTGTTCACTGTGGATCTGTTCCCTTCAGAACTTGGTTTAATTTCTAATCCTGCTAAATTTACTCAGAGACAGTTGGTACTTTCTATTAGTCTTTCCTCATCTGTTAAACTTTAAAGTGCATGTATGTAAATAATGAGAGCAATGGTCAGCACTCCATTCAACTACTTTAAATAGAACTGCTGGATGTTTGAAGAACATGGGTTCTAATCTCACTTAAAACAAAATTAAACCTATGAATTTTGATAGGATAGAGTTTGGAGTTTTGAATGCATTGTTTACAATACAGAGTACAAAAGTATGTAACATTATGTATAAAAATTGGCTTTCCACATACATGTCACACACATACTTTTACTGCAGATACAGACTTGAGTAAATACCTTCAAATCTGGATTTATGGTGGGTAGATGTGCACTTTACTGGCTTGATTTTCAAGGATGACACGTTATTCTATCTGTAAGTGATCTGTAATTGCTTAATTTGATCACAGAAACTCAGCACCTTTGAAAATGAGGCTTTTGCTGTGCCTAAATCAGAATCTAGGTGTGTAATTTTAAACATCCAGATTTGAAAGATTTGAAATGAAAAATACTTGCTAAATGAACAGTTGAACATCTGATTTTAATTTAGAAAATTTCCTTTTTTCCTTTTTTTTTTTTTAAATCTGTGTAACCGTTTCAGGATATGACCAGCCTCTCCTTAAAAGTAACACGGAAAACAGCAGCATAAATACCTCCCAATGTACCAGTACCTGCCAAAAACCTTTTTCAGTTAAACTTGAATTTCTGGTGCACATGCAACACAACAATGAACACGCTAGCATTTAATTTAAAGAAAAAGGTGCAAAATGAAAGTGCCTTATCAATTCAACAAGAAAAGCTATACCAGTAACTACATTTTATATTAATTAAAACAATATATAAACAATATCTCTTTTGCTATATATAGTCTTCATGCCCATTTACCCTGTAATATATTATAATGCTATTGTTGCTATTGCTATGGACCCTTTTCATGCCGTTCTGTCTACTGGCAAACAGTGGTAGGTGAAAAAAATCGTCCTTCATGAAACAATGAGCAAGTTGTGCAAACTGATGCTTAAATCTCTGCAATGCACACCAGTCGCTGATTACTAGGTGGACTCTCTGGTTCTGATCAACAAATTGATTGTTCTGTCAGAAGTCTGGGCAGTGAACTACGAGAGAAAGCAACCTTCTGATACTAGTACCCTCAGTCTGTGTAAACAGAGGTCAAGGATTGAGAAGTTGAGACAGAAAAAGGGTCCATATTTGTAGGCAAAATGGAAATCATATGCATGAGAAAAACAAGTTCAACTTTGTTTCATTGTTTCCCATCCTTCGCCTGACCCGGACCGCCAAGAGATGTGCAGTGTGTTGGCTCCCTAGGTCTGTGCAGGGCCATATAAAGTGTCTTGGTTTTCTTTACTTTTTTTTTCTCTTTTTTGTTTTTTTAATCTTTTCCTTTCTTTTGTTTTAATGTTTGTACTTCAGACATTCTAGAAGTGCTTAGGTGATACGTTTACCCATCAATTTGCATTGCTGGCTCAAATTCTGAAGTGAACAGCTCCTTGTAAAGTGGAGGAAAATGAAGTCGTACAATGTCTGGGTATATTGCTTTAAATGCGATAAGCTTTTCTGTATGTCGTCCACACAGTGCTCTTAAAGTAGACACTTTGCATATTAACTGTAAAAAAATGAACAGAAGTCACACAGTCATATATGGAACAAGGCCTCCCAGTCTTGAGCTCAGGATTAGAACTCTCAAACAATTTGAGCACACTTCACTTGTTTGCTTTAGCAGTGACATATCAGATGTGTTAAGTTTCGTATATTAAAAACAAAAACAAATAAAGAAGCCAGTAAAAACTTACTGAGTAATGTATTAATGCTATCTGTGAAATAACTTTTTCTTTGGGTGTCTAAGAAAATGTATCACTTGCCTACCTATGTAAGCCATATCACAAGCTCCAGATCGATGTGGAACTATTTCATGGCTGAATCTTTACTCATGCAACTTAGTAATTCTCTTGGAAGAAGGTGTGCTTGATTATTCTTAAATATGCTATATTATGGAGGGAACTTGCAATACAATGGATTAGGCTACTTCCACTTATGCCAAAAAAGGTAAAAGATGAAATTGTATTAAACAGATCAGAACAATCTGTCCTTGAAAAAATAGGACTAGGGTGCTCATTCAACTTAGTGAGTACATATTTGTATCGAAGCACCTGGAAGAAATCTCCTTCTAGCAAAGGAATCCAATGCATATGCTGGGAAAATAATTATACAAGCTATGAAATGAGGACAATCTGGAAAGCCCAGATCTTCATACTGGGCTGTACTATCCTGCTCCTAGTTGTAGTTAGTCTAAGTGTAATTAATTCTGCGTTGTGAAACTAAGCATGACCTTCCCTGCTGTGTGGAGTTCTAAAAGGAACTACATCTGTAAGGAAGTGCCTTCACACTGCCTCTGCATTTTGAACACCTAATTGAAGACACTTGAGATTACCATAATAATATGTAGTATCTTTTTTCTCTTCCCTAGCCACCAATAGTTAGAAGAAGTGCTGAGAAAAAGGCTTGTGCAGAACTTCTCATGACGTACTGAGAAACAAGGTTAGTTTGGGTGCTGTGTGCCATCACAAGCTAGTTGTCATGTAGACACAGGTTTCGTAAGATTTAATCTTACATGTAGTAGAAATAGTGCTCTGCGTGGCAGAGGTGTTATTAAGAGAAACAAGATAAAAACCTTGATGGCTTTTCATTTAGTTCAACATGAAAAACATTTTCAGACCTTTATCAGCCATATTCGTAGTACATCATTCTTTCTCCCTTTCTTGTTTTTAGCAAATGATTTCAGCTAAGTACCTTGATTGTGAACAAAGAATTCTGGGCTTATAAATTAAAAAAATACTGCACAGAAGCTTTTACACTATTCATAAGAAAGTGTGCTTTCACAGTCACATGACATGGCTCAATATGATTTGTACCTTTGTTAGAATTCCATCTTCTCGGTGGTTCTTCTGTAGGACATGCTGAAGTGCTAGCTGGATCTTCTGTTGGAGTTTTTCAATTTTTACCTTCTCCTGAAGCCATGAACGATCTAAATACAAATGAAGTTAACACCTCTAGTAGTGCATACATCAGTCACGGTGCATCAGGAAATAGTCTGTTCATTTTTCCTATTTGCAACCTTCATTCCACTTCAACAGTTTTACATAGGAAATGAGTTTCAAAATTAATAGCTTTTGGACACATTTATTACTTGCATTTAAAATTACTTTTATGAAACTCTCAATAAGAAGATTGCAGCATATCTGAGTAAGATTCATTAATTATTTGCTAATAAGTTCTTTAAAATGCAGGATATTTACAAAATGAAGCTAGCCCCCTTTTAGTGAGAAATGCATGGATCACATAATGAACAAGTAGTTGGTGTGGATCTTCTTAGTAAGATCTACAGTGGCATACAAAAAAATCAGAACAAATATTCAGCTATTAAAAAAGTGCTCCTAAACTTCTAGCAGAAAAGGAGTATTAGGTACTACATCTGTGGCAGAACTAAGGGATTCTGTGGCTTAAATACTAAGAGACAAAGCAAACATATTTCCAGCATGGCAACCAGCATGAGAATGTATTTATGATGTAGTAAAACTCCGTTGTAACAGATTCCTCCAGCATTTATTCCTATGATGGTTTAAAACTATATTTTTCCTTGGCTATTATGTCAGACACAAACGGAATTTCTGCACTAATATCTTGTTTCGCCCAACCCGATAAGCCTTCCCAGTACCTGGAGCACAGTGTGAATCTGTTTGAGATGAAGCTATTTTATTCATGGCTATAGCAGACCCAGGCTGACTCTTGTATGTCTGGTGCCATCATTCCCATACCTGGTTTCACAAAGGTGACAGATACCTGAGCTACCAGGGTTTGCAACCACCTCCATACATTTGTTCCTTGCTAAAACAGCAACCCTGCTTAACAGCTCTGAGCTGGCACTGGACCAAAAAGAGGTGGACATTTCACACTGTGTGATAGCAGTACTATTTAAGAATACATTAAAATAAAAGTGAACTCTGCCATAGAAACCTAGAATAAATACTCTGTCTCTTACCTGCTGACATTAAAACAAATGCAGAAAACAAAGCTATCTCATCTTCTGTCAGGTGCATAGAACATAAACTTTTTCCAAATTCAAACACAAAACTAATGAAGTCTTCACAACCTGCCAAAAAGAAGGTACAGCTCATGCCAAACTGTTTGAAATTACTTCAAAACTACACAGTTGCTGATTTAGGTGAAAAATGGATGTAAAATACTTGATAGGTAAATGCTTTTCCCCTTGAGGACTGATGAGATCTCAGTTATGCTTGAACTTCACCCACAGGTCCCCAGCTATCACATCCTGGTACCCAGTACTTTGAAGGTTTTGTGCATTGCATCTTTTCTGTGCTTTTGGGGTAAATATAGGTGAAAACCAAGCCATTTTCAAGCTCAACACTGTTTTGGCTTTGTTGCCTTTCTCCATGAAACTTTCTCATGTTACTGTGGACTGGATGTTTGAAATGTATACTTGAAAAATGCCGATTTTATGAATACTGAGCACACGGAAGAGGGAGGGGGAAGAAGCATACAAGGTACATGCAGGAGCAAAAGGAGAAGCGAAGGTCTGAAAGTTTTTCATGCAGAAGAAGAACTGTGCCTCCTTTCATCCATTCTCTTGCTCACACAGGTGTAAGTCAGGTTACTGCTGCTGTTACACATGCTGTTATCCATTACACAAAAGCTGCGCCTTGCTTTGAAAGGATTGCAACCTCTGTTGGAATAGGGTTCTCCTCTGCAGATCTCAGCCCCCAGCTCAGCTTAAATTTCTGAGTGTACTCAGTAGCAGCTGAAAGTTAGGTTTCATTGCAACTACTAGCAGATAGAAGCCCATATCTGATACTGCATTCTCTGAATTGTTTCTGAGTAGAAACAATTCTATTTTAATACTCTTTCTAGTCAAATATTTTGAGGTGTTTTGAAAAGGCAGAGAGTACTTCAGTAATTGTATGGCTTTCTTCACTGCCATATTGCTACTGTCATTTTTCACTGCCCTCCAGAATGGCTTACATACCAAATCCATACCCAATTAAATTCTTCCTTTTAAAATTAGCATAAGTATGCAGAAAAGAAGAAATAAAAAGGTAAACAATGGTTTAATTAAAAAAGAAAAAGAATTAAGAGTATTTCAGTATTTTACCTGCAAACAACTAGATTTTGCATATTCAGAGCAGTACTGTCAGTATATCTGAAATTAAATTTAAAGTTTCTCTTCCTTTTCAACTGGATTCATCAAGCTTTACATGAGTTAAGACATCTGGGCTTCTGTTGTTTACGAGCATCTCCAAGCTGCTCTACCCTGACCTAAGTAAGGAAAGTGCTGGATTTCAATACCAATAGTCCTGCATTGCAAGTAGCTAAGGTGTTGTAACTCCTGAAATCAGCTTGGCCTCAAACACAGTTGGCAGAATTATTTACAGAATAAGCAGTTTGAACTTTTTAACTGTTTTTTTATTTGAATACTACAGTCTCTATTTTTTTCAAGGCAGCTGTCCTCATGCTTTTCTACCTTATTGTTTCTCTGTGTTTTTAAAGTACAACACTTGGTATTTCCTTACCTAAGGACTTGAAAACCTCTGGGCTAGCATACTTGCCATCAAAGTAGACTGTGTTGTTCTGGGAGTCAAAGGCACGGCACATTCTGATGAACACAACCTCTAAAGACCCTAAAACAGAAACAATGTATGTTTGACTATTTAAGTAGAGAGACTTCAGTTGCAAGAAGTGAGAGAAAAGTTCCCTAGTGCTCTGCCTTCAGCACAGACTGACTAGGGCAGTAGGTTTCTGTGGTATAACAAAGAATAATTTTGATTTTATAGTGTAATTATTTCCCATAAACTCCTTTACAAGTTTTTGCTAAAGTAACTTAGTTAATGCTAATAAATATTTTTATTAGGATAATGAAGTCTCTGAAGTCAAAGCAGTTCATTTAGATCTTTACTCATGAAGCTCTGATAGCTTTGTTCAATATTTGTAAACTGCATTCCTTCTACAGTATCTTGCATAGAACAATCTGGACTTTAACTTGAAATATATTATTCACTATTCATACGCCTAATAAAGAAAACCTGAATCCAATGTTTTCATTCTTTCACACTTAATTACTCCTGTAGTTCACAATGAAAATTTCATATGCAGACTTGAACTTATCATAGAATCACAGAATGGTCTGAGGTGGAAGAGATCATAAAGATCATCAAGTTCCAGCCTCCCTGCCACGAGCAAGGACACTTTCCATTAGGTGGAACGTGTTGCATCCAGAGAAACTAAGAAAGCATATTACTTCAAACAAAGACATAGAGGTTTCTTTATTTTATTATTTTAAATCACCATTCAACATATGTATATATATACTTATATATATACATAATCACTCTATATAGGTAGCACTGTCCTCAGTCAAAACTAATAGAAGTAGACCTTAAAATTCACCCACATACCTGCTTTTAAAAGCACAATTTGATCATTTTGACACAGCTCCATAAAGCCATCAATGCGTTTGGCAAATTCCACTACATACTGTATAGCTTCTGTTATTTTGACTGCGCATAATTGCCACATTACCTCCCTTTGCTGTTTGAGAGAGAAGAAAAATTGAAAAGTTACTAATTAAAGTTTGGAAAGCTCATTTTCATAAAATAAGACTTAGCTCAAAAACTAAGCAGAGCAAATGCTCTTCAGCAGTCCTGGCTACAGTCTGCTTGTGAGAAAAGGGCCGTTAGTCTCAAAGACAAAGCCTCATGAGGATGAGTGAAAATGCAAGCATGTAAAACTTCTTCAGTGATGGCAGAGAGATCCAGGTTGCATATTTTTATGTCATAAGCCAAAAAAATCTAAGTATAATGATGCTGGTGATTTCAGTGGTAATTCTACTTACTGCATCGAGAGAAAATACCAACTTATGCTAGCGGTGCACAATCACATTTTTCCTATCAACCTCTCTTTTTTGTCCTGAATGTAAATTATCTAACAAGCTGGTCTTCATAAGGATACATATAAAGTACACATATATGAAGATCATCTTGTTAACAACAAAGAAGGCATGCAATTAGTGTTCTTCTCAGATGTTAATAATAATTCAGAATGAGAGTACCTAACAAGTGGAAAAAATATTCTTAAGGGTTAAGTTTTTTTTTTTTTTGGTGGAAATGAAAAAAAATATTCAGAAGTGTGCTTTAATAGTGCTTCTCAAGATAGTTTTCCAAAAGTAGCCACTTGGCAGTAGTGCGTGGATGGAAGGCATAATGGAAATACAAGCACTGAATAAATCGTGTAGTACCTACTGGAGGCATGGCAGCGCTCTGCTGCTGTTCTACAGGTGAAACTGAAACACTGTGACAACTGTAGAATGAATCAGGGATACAACCAGGCACCAAAGGCAGGAAATCTGAGTTCTGAGTTTATAATATCAAAACAAAACGCACCATGCAAAATTATAAAGTGTCAAACAAGCCAATGGCTTTTTGACTGGCTCCTATTCAGGTTTTCAATTACCAGATAGGAATGGAAACAAAGTAAGACTGATGCATGTCCTGGTATTGATCAGTATTTCACAGGTCAGCTGTAAAGGACTCCACAGTTATAACCTGGTGCTTCAAACTAGTTTGCTGTTGTTGTTGTTGTTGGGGGAGGAGGGGAAGTGGGAATGATTAGGGAGATTACAGTGTAACAACAGTAAATAACATGCCATGTTGGAGTGAAAAAAAATTCTCTAGTTTCTTATCCAATTTTATCAATTACAGACAAATATATTTCCAGAGCTTTACATTTCCTCGTATTTATGGTTAAAATCATAAATGCAAAATCACAAACCAAATTGCAACCATCTTGCTCATCTTGATTCTAGCATGTTTTTTGTTTCATTTTTGTCCTGAAAACACACATAAATGTATATTCCTGATAGTGAACAGAAAGCAGTGAAAAACTGAATTTTGCAGTGTGTTATGGAAATACCATGCTTTAAAAAAGCATGCCACTGTTTGGCATGCTTTTATACCTTGTTCTGATAGTTCTCAATTTCTTCCTGCAGAAAAGTCTGCCATGTTATCTGCTGTAGCTCCTCTCTCAAGTACTGGCAAGTTTCCATGTGAGACTTGGAAATATTCTGTGCAAGATGTTCTAAAAGAAAGACCAGAAAGTTACACACATTAAAAATGAAAAGCTATACCTTCAGACATGAGAAAATGAACATATTCCAGTTACAACTGGGAGCCACAGGAAAGCTTAGGTGTTAGAAGAAATGCTTTAATTTAATATCTCCTTGGATTTTTTTTTTCCTTAAAAATAAATCAATGCAAACTGCTAATACTGCAGTAAACAAAACAATTCTGGATCTTAACATACCTTGCCTAGCTCGTAATGGGCCCAGTGCAGCCATTAGAGGGCACTCTGTACACACACACACACTCTCACAATGCAGCTCTGAGATTTTAATAGTTACACAAAGCAGAATCCTTTCACTAGTTGAAGATGCTTTGGTGAACTTTAATTTATTTTTGAATGAAGAATACTGTATCTGGGACAAACTTACTTCCTGGATGGCATTTCTTCAAAAGAAAGTTTGCAAGATAAAAAAGCTTGAGAGATAAAGTCAAAACTCAGTGAAACCTGGGATCATTCAAGCTGCTGTAAACTCAGTAAGTGGTCTTGCTGCTTTTAGTAAAAAAAAAAAAAAAAAAAAAAAAAAAAGCCAGCTTTGAAACCTGGGCTCAGAATTATGCTATGAATTAATATTCAGTCTTAAAAGTTTTCCATTTTTCTTTGTGTCTCGTCTCATATTTTAGCACACGACAAGTAGACTTGTCTCTGCAGTTGGTACTTCTGCAGATTAGACCACCACTGAAAGGGAAAGCTTACAGCCACAAGTGCAGGATCCTGCATCTGAGTGGGGGCAATCCCAAAACATCAGTTCAGACTGGGTGATGAGTGGAGTTGAGAGCAGCCCTGCAGAGAAAGAGGTGGGAGTAGTGGGCAGATAAGGGACTCTATCTGGGAGTGACAGGACAAGGGGTAATGACTTTAAACTAAAAGAGGATAGGTTTAGATTAGATATTAGGAAGAAACTGTGGATGCCCCGTCCCTAGAAGTGCTCAAGGCCCAGCTGGATGGAGTTTTGAGCACCCTGATCTAGTGGGTGGTGTCCCACTACTTGTGGAAGCTGAGTAAGACTGGTGATCACGAACATGGGTGTATAGCACTGAAGTGCAATATTTGTTTACCAGTGTGTACTTAAACATTTATTTTTCTCACTGTCAGCATCTGACAGCATTATTCCTTTGCCCTTGAAGGATACAGAAATAAAATGTTACCGTGTTATTCACTAACCTCAGCCTCAGTTCTGGTCTGTATTTAAGTACACACACTTAAATACTTTCATTGAACAGCCCCACCTTCCTAAATTGAAACCTCAGTCTAGCAGACAAACATTCTTCAGAGGCTGTTTGGCAATGTCAATGCTGGGCACCCAAATCACGTTCCATAGGGTTTAAATGCAAGCACTGTGTAAATAAGGATAAGGAATATGACAAACTTATCTTACACTAGTGCTCCAGACTGAATACCTGGCCTAAGAAGGAGAAGCCTTCTCTTTTTTTCTGTACTATTAATGTTCATCTTTTAGTAATTCCCATGAGAATATTAACAATCACTTATTGAGACAAAACTGTAAGCGCAGCTTTTGCCTTATTTTTTTTTCTTTTTGGTTTTACTTCATCTGTTACTGAAGGTATTTGAACTCAAGTGAGATGCAATGTTTTTGGCTGTCACAACATATACTATTGCAGAGAACTGCATTCTGCAACATAAGGACATGAAAAATCTTGTCCCTTCCTCTCTGCAAAAATTCTCAAAAAGAACATAAACTAAAGCAGAATTTCTCATCAAATACCTGCCTCTAGTTAAAACCAACAACAAAAGAGACAAACTTTATCTTGAAATAGACAATTTTTCAATTTTTAGGTTGTTTTAATAATGAAATATGTGGCCAAAAAATGTCATTTAAACAAAATAAATGTTTTAAACTCCTGATTGCTTATATAAATACTAGAATCTTAAAGCCATTTCTCTTACGTCCTGTTTCAGTTTGCTTATGACCACTTGACACAGTGCTCTCTAACTTAAGACCCGGATGCTAACAAGTCCTCGTAATGGAATTCAGCCTTCCTATAATCACTGAGGGAAAGGTTTAAAGAAAAATGTGCTAATTAATGTGGTCATTATATGGATCTTAGGGAAGCTGTCAAAACATGCTACATGGAAATTTTTTCTCAAGTCTGGAGCTAGATTCTCTTCAGCCACTGGAAAGGCGAACTGCCCTCCGATTAGACCGATGTTTTGGTTCCACATTCCCCCGGTACAGATAAAGAGCAGAAAAAGATAGTCCACGTAACTTTTTGTTAGGAAACAGAGAATTAAGCTAATAAAAAAAGATTAAATGTTAAAAAAAAAAATCATAAATAAAGAAATATTCCATTTCCTCAGCACAACAGATTGTCTTGTTAATAAGTATTCAGAACATTCTATTATATGAACTGAAAACAAAAGCAACGCTACTAGACCTTATCTAGTACAAGCTTATGTGACTTTTAGTCCACTTCTGTAATGTGTTCAACCACGTACCACAATTAATTAGGGTATTGTGCACTTCACAGAAGAATGCCCATACATGCTCACAGCTGTTTTGAAGCAGCATTCTCGCTATCACCTGGCTAAATGTGTCAGTTTAATCCAAGGGGTACTATCAAGACAATTACAATGGAAGTTTTTCTCTCTCATTACCTAATTCTGCCATGGACACAGTTGGAGAGGTCTCCCCATTTGTAAAAGAACAATAAGGGAAGAAGCCCGATGCTGGTGTGTAGTCACATATTGGTTCTGGTTTGATTCCATTAATATCAAGACCCGACTGATCTGGAGAAGGTTGTATGTCTAAGTAGAAGCTGCTAACTGCAGAGTCTGCTTTGCTACCTTCAGGGGTATGCCCATCAATGTAATTACTGAGGTCGTCGTGTAGCTCTGTTAACCCATTGGTGGTGATATTGTACGTTGGTGTTAGTGGTTCTGCCTCTCCTGGCTGCTGCTGATGATCTCGCTGCTGCTGCTGCATTCGATGTTTCTGCACCTCTGCATACAGGCTGTCCCTCTGCTTTTTTGACATTCGACCAAACTTCACAGCTGAAATGCAAAAACAAAACGTTTCATTTCTATTACTCCAGTAGTGAATTTTGTTTGTCTTGGGTCTTTAATACTACACTGAAAGGCAGAATATAAAATGCAAATCAGCAAAATGGGTAGACCTAAGAATCATTCCTGTCAATTACAGGTAACACAGCAGCATCACGTACTCTTTCCATGTACTTAGCATGCTACTGAAGACGACCGTTAGAAGTTACTATTTTAGCTTAATTCATTAGCTTTCCACTTCTGTGCCTAAAAGATTTTCTTTTATATCCACTGTATTGACTGTGCATATCTTGTGCATTCAAATCCCACCTAGGAAAGAGGAGAGATGAACTGTTCAATTACTACCAGCTGCATATTCATAATTTCTAAGAGTTCCTAAGAATACATTACATGATTTCTGGGACCAGTGTCAGCTGTAAAAGCCTCATAGTTTAAGAAGATGGCTTGCACCTTATATTCTTTTACAGAAAAGCAAATATACTCCAGGAACTAGTCATTACTAGTACTAGTCAGTACCGTTTCAGGTTTTTAGTTTCATGCCCAATAAAAAAATAAGACCATGTAATTTAAGAAGTAAATGTAACCTGAAAACTTTTCTCCTTCTTCAGGCCTCAGGTATGCATACAACATGCAACACTGCTGTCAAATACAGGCAAGAACGCTTGAATTCAACCTTCAAATTGGGTAAGTGATGGCAAGTTCATTACATCTTTGGAGGAGGTGTACTGATATCAGCTGCAAATCCAGTTCTAATAAGAGTTCTATACGCTTCCATTTTACTGATAGGTGGATTTTGTCATTACACTAGGCATAACTTTGAGCTCAATATTAATAGCACTGGAACACACTTTCTTCAGAAATCTATCATTGATAAAAAAGCAAACCACAGCATGGGCTTGAAAAAACACTTATTTTCTCTTTGTATTTTTTCCATTATTCATTTCATACACATTTAACTTCTGTGTAAACTGTTAAACAGTTCTGGTCCCCATCAATATAGTGATGTTACTTGCAGCTACAGGATGTCAAAAATTGGAAGGAATGCAGAGAGGAAGTATTAACATCAGAATAGAAACTGCATCTTCCAGTGACCAAAGACAAAGCACTCAGCTATGAACTACAACAGAGGAGCAGAAAACCAACCAACAGGAACTTCATACGTCCCCTGATTTATATGTATTTATCTAAATATTCAACACAAAAACCACTCTGATCTCAACAATCAGCTTGATGCACAGTAACTTTTAAATCCTTTGTTATTCCAGGTGAATACACAGTATACTCAGTATTGTTTTACTTTTTCTTTTTGCATTTAAACTGGGATTTAGCAGAGCTTACCATCTCGAGACATCCCCACAGCAAGGCATTTCTGTAATCGACAGTGTTGGCAGCGGTTTCTACTGGTTCGGTCAATCAAACAGTTCTTCTGACGAGGACAGGAGTATGTAGCATTGCTTTGCTGACTCCTTCTGAAAAAGCCCTGTGATTGCATTGCAAAGTACAAGTCAAGAAGCTGTTAACTAATGGAGCGAATAAAAACTCTGAGAGGTAGCATACCTAACTGGAAATGAAGTTCAAGTGCACTATAGTCACTAAAGGAAGTTAATAGGTTTTTTTTTTTTCCCCTGGAAACAAACAAAAACCAGTGAAGAGTAGGAAACAATAAAATGATGTTATGGCATATAAAGGAATTGCACATTTCTTCACTGATTTTTGTAGACCCTGTGTGATGTACGGCACACTGATTATTTCCAAACGAGATAATTATAAACCTAGGTTTCCTTATCATTTCTTGGTCAGCGTGGATATCCAAAACAAGAAGGATTCAACAGCTAGTTATTTCAACCTGATACACTTTTCTGCTCTTGGAGATGACAGTAGCAGGCTCTGATGTTCAGTCTCACCAGTGTATGTACGAGCTGAAAAATACACATGATACTGAACAGTTCCCTCTATGAAGAATAATATATATATATTTTTAATAGTTCAATGCTGACAACTGAGTTTTCATTCAACTCAGGGCAGGGTTTAGATTTGTAAGACGATAAGGGGGAAGCTGAAACAAGTTCTATGTACTTGTTTTCCTTTTGAGTCAACTAGAATGGAAAACCCTTCCCCAAAGAAAAATTAAGGCTGGAAGGCTGAGCCGTAGATACAACTTAGTTTTCTCCACCAGAATGTGCACATTATTAATCACTATGCCAGCTGCTTGTTTTGAAGTTTATTTCATCTTTTTGCCACAGACTGCCCAAACATAAGCTGGTGTGTGTAATACCTACTTCACAAGGATTCTGGGAAGGTGTAGTCATTCTAAAGAGGCATCTGAGATCAGTGAGCACGGTGTTTTAGTTTTATGTTGCCACATAATGGATTAATTAACACTGCTGCAAAGAAAATACCTCCTCAGAAAGGCTGGGCACCCTTTAATTAAAGTTGGACTTTTACCAATCTTCTGTTTATTTAAAGACCGTATTCTGGAGTCCCTCAGCACATGCACACTCTGTCCAGACACTTGGTGAAATAAACAAGAAGGACTTCTGCATGACAAGTAAGAGACTACCTAGCAAATTTCCTGCAGACAGGAGAATGACAAAATGCTGAGTTAAAGCCATATGCTCCATATTTTGAGGAGGGAAAAAAATCTTCATCGGTTAAGCTTTAATGGTCAAAGGTGAAGTATAAAAAAAGGTCTTGGTTTCTATCTGATCTTCAACTAATGTTTGCCAATAGAGAGGTGGTAAGTCACTTAGACTGAGAGCAGTGCACATACTGAGCTCTCAGTGCATTTCTTAAAGAAAATCTAAAATATCAAGGAAATTTCTAGGTATCATTCCAACATGATTGATCCCTCTGGAGGAACCAGGTCTTAGATAAGTAGACAGCTTAATTTCCAGTTCTGTTCACATCTTTTGTGGAGCCTGTCACTCCAGTGCATGCAAGGACAATGCAATTCACTGGAAAAACAGGATTAAGTATCAGCATGAGCAATGATTTACTGATCAAGGTTCTGCATCTCTGCATTATCAGTCCCTTATGATACTCAGTTCTCTCAACACTTCACCAGTTGCCCTGAATGACGTGCTCATTGATGAATGACTGCATTACATCGTCTGCCACTGCTGAGATCCTGTAAGCCAGCTTTATCAATATCTAAGCTGAAACTGGCCCAATGACCTCAACTATCCCTCCATTTTCTTTTTACTGGGACCTGTACTGTGTCTGTATTGCCAATTAGGCCTATTTCTCTCTATTAAGAATATTCCTGTCAGACAGGATTATTTTTAGTATCATAATGGAGAAAATACTGAGCTTTTTGCTTCTTCCAGGTTTTCCCTAGGGACATAGCTGCTCAATACATTTTAGTGTACAATGTATCAGCGAAGTTACAGCTCGAAGCTGAGTTTTCAGTAGAGCAGGGCTGCCTGAAACTGGGGCCTTTAAAAACTCTTCCATTTCACAAATCAGAGATGTAGGTAAGTGCTTTTAAAGACAAACCATGCAGTATTAGTGGGCATGCTGAAAACATCAGTACTACCTAAAGCAGAAAAAGCTTGCCTCAAATCTCAGAAGTGAATCTGAACTCTTCTAGAGCTCAGAAATATTTTGAGATTTGGGATGGCAGTAACAATAAGGTTAAACTTCATTCAAATGAAGGCTTTTAATCACAAAAAAATTTCGATGTTGTTGACATTTACCTGTGATTTTTCTACCTTCTGGTGGTCCTTGGTATCTCACATCATTCTGAAAATACGTGGCGAAGGCCCTTCTTACAGGTGCCTTTAGTGAGTAAATACGGTTTCCCTACTAGTTGCTTTTTTTTCGTCTATTAGGTGAAGGAGAGACACTGTACTGTGTTGTTGTGCTATTTTTTCCCCTTTGCCAGAGGCACAGAGCTAGCTGTAATTTTTCCATCAGGAAGGAGGAGGTGTATGCATGTGTGGTACACGTGCATACATTCAATCATTATGCAAACCAGCCAGAGCCACATACTCTTAATTGCATGCATGTTCAGAACAACCATCATTTGACATTCATCCAATTGCATAATGGGCCACAGGCAGATTGGACCCCTCTTGATCAAACAGACCAACAAAACTGTTCCTGCACTAAAAGATGTCACCATGTTACACTGCTCTCTGACTGATGGCATGGCTTGAGCCAAGGTCCCTGGTATCAGTGTGTTTGTGAGTGTGTGGAGCCCTGCCGCCTTCTGATGTCAGGATGAAGAGGCAGCTGATTTTGATGAGGCGTCATTGAGCTTTGCCCATCTCCCTTTTTATGTTGCTGTATTAACACAGTGCCAGAAGAAGTGAAGAGCAGATTACAAGCCATCTCTACATTTCAGACTCCTATTTATATACAAAACAATATATGGTTTTTCATATGCTGCCAAAAAATCAAGTTTGGAAAAAAAGGGCGCAAGAACTTTTCATCTGCAAGTCAGTTTGAATAACAACTTGTTAAAAAAGAACTTTGAAATGTAAATAGCAGTTTTCACAGTCTATTAATAGTTCCAGTCGCTTTACTGTTCAATGGCTCTGTACTACAGACGTCTGTGTCTAAGCTTCCTGCTTCCAAGGGGAAAAATCCTGTTGTGATTCTCTGATGTCACAAATTTCACCACACAGACTCCCTCTCCAGTGCAGCATGGGTTGAAATGCTGATCTCATGTTTGGTCTTTTGACAAATTTTCATTTAATGAATTGATTCCTACAGTTCATTAAAATACCCACTTCCATTTCTGTATACACATATGTCTTAATTAGCTGCTCATTGGCTGTTTAATTACAAGAAAACAGCTGACAGCTGCCTTGCTGCATCCTAATGGCAGACGTTTTGGAATGACTGTAAGCAAGCCTGTGACAAAAAAGACTTATTCATAATCCCATGATTTATGGCTAATACTTAAAGTCTTCCACGTATCATTAAGTTTTGCAATATTCTGAGCAATTAACAATTAGTTGGGAGGGTTCGTTTTTCTATAGCAAACTACATTCAATTTTCTTCAAAGAAGCATCAGAAAAATATACTTTTGAATGTAAGAAATGTAAATACTCAGAGTGGATTTTAACCCTTTTATGACAACAAACATGATTTTAGTTACAGGGGAAAAGAATACTGTGAAAATATTTTAAAATGAACTGTTAATAAAGTATTTGCTAATCAAGTTATAGCACCACTGAAAGCAGACAAAAACATTCAGTTTTACCTACATAATAAATCCAGGAAATAGATTTTGTTTACCAGGTTATAAAAGGCTTATGAGACCTTTTTGTAACATAGCTGATGAATTTTCTGAGACTTTTTATTTGAAACTGGTTAGGCAAAAAACTTTAAAATTCCAACAGCATGAATTAGAGGTGCATGTTTACAACACCACTGTGACACTCTGTGTTCAGTAACGAAAAATCAACCATTACACAAAGTGGATGTCTCACTGGAAAAAGAAATGCAAGATGGGAAATGATACCAAGTACTGTTTTCTGAAGTAACAAATAGGGATGATCCTTGTATTTGCAATGAACACCATTGCTTGATGTCTAAAAAGATACAGGAGACAGAAGCTAGGAGTTACAAATCTTTGAAAGTAACAGAGATGCTCAGCAGTGTCCTGCATGGATGGTTTTGAGATCAACTGCAGGCATTTAAGGAGAGGTGTCATACTAATACAATTGGGGGTCATTTGAGCATGAACTGTCACTGTTGACAGAAAAATCAAGTAAACTGCATCTGCAACTTTGAAGACAGTTCACTGACAAAATATTTGTTTCAAAGTAAACGCTCTGCTGTGCCCTTTTGAAACATTCAAGTGTTTGCTGACATCAATTTCTCCTTGTAGAGTCAAAGATGCTGTTGATATCTCTCTTAAAAAAACTGAGCTAATTTGTAAGAAAGATGCATTTACTGATCTGTACAACTGTTTCAGTTCTGTCTAATTCTTCACAACATGTCAAACAATATCTACTGCCAGGGGGCGAGGGAGCAGAAGGGAGGGACTATGCACAGTTAATAGCCAGAGGCCAGAACTTAAATAAATAAATCAATTAATCTGATAACAGGTCAATAGGCCAATATGAAGCAGAAAACACTCAACAGAACCTTTAGTGTGATAAATGAGCATGGCTGTGTACAGACCAATCTCTTCTCTCATCATAGTGCCTAACACAGAGCAAATGAGTTCCTACAACAGCTGAACAAGCGCTCCATACAGATTTTAGTTTTTTCAGTAGTGCTACTACAGTACTTCTACTTTCAATATTAAATATGGGAATAAACTGTTATTGCTGAGTTATGCAACAGGGAGGCATTCTTCATCTGTGCTTCTCAGTTAGGTATTAAACGACTCCTCTTCATCTCCGTTGTGTGACATATATTGGATATCAGCAATGGTCAGATAGGAAAGTCTTTCAAAATTTTCTTTATTTAGCATAAGCTCTCCACAGGAGCCCTCCCTCAAGTATAAAACAGAGCTTGGCTACCAACTTCATTTTTCAGTTAGGGGAGAAAAAGGGGTGGCGATATGATTATTATTTTTTATGCAGATTCAAATCAGACAAACAGACTGATTGGTTAGGAGTACTCAGAGACTTTTGTGTAAAACATAGCCAATAACATCATAGAAACAGCCAGTAATCTCACAGCAAGCTAGGACATTAAAACTTCCAAAAAACACTAATTAACTTCAATAAATGTTTTCAACTCTTGTGTATGAAATGAAACATAGCAAGAAAAACTGGTTTGAAAACTTTGTTATATAAAAAGGAAGGGCTAAAATATTGCAGGACAATAGGATCAGCAAAAATCACCTTAACCTGAGCTTTTCTGTGATTCCATACATGACACAGATTAAGTTTGCAAAGTAAATCTTTGCAACTAAAGCTTTATATTTTAAATAAATCACGTTGCTGATAGTTATTAGTATTTAAACAGTAGTATTTAAGTTAAGTTTGCTATTAACAAACATTAACATTCACACTGAAAGGGAATGAAAAACAGTAAGGGAGCTGAAAAAATCCCACCTTGCTGCTGCTTTGCTGCCTGTAGGTCATCCCTGACAGGCCTGGCTTGAGAGGGCAGCAGCACAGCTGTTCCCTTGTGATGATTAAGGCCCTGATCCTGCAATCTGATGCACGCAGATAGGTTTGTACATCTGTGCAGAACCTCACTGACTTCTCTGGGTCTATCCACGGAGGAAGAAGTTGACTCCAGCAATCAGTGTAGGGCTGGGAACTAGCTCTTCATAACAAAGTAGTTTTTATGAAAGAAGGTTTAACATAACATGAAAAGCAATTGTAAGCATGCTCAAACCTGCAGCAGTCATAGCCACAGAAAACCTGGGAAATGCATTTCAGGGGGAAAAAAACAACACAAAAAACCAACAACAAAACCAAAAAAACTCCAGACCAATAAACACCTGGCTCATTTGGCAGAAGCCACGTTATGCCAACTTTTTCACCAGCCAAAATAGTTCTGTTGGGTGAGACTTTGTTGACATTACTGTGGAATTGCTTAGCACAAACAAAATCCATCTGCTACACTAGCGTATTTTAAATGCTTCTGACCACTATCTTGTAAACTCTTCCTGTCACTTGTCCCTACTAGAGCTCCCTTATCTTTCACTACTTCCAGGATCTGGCAGTAAAGAATAGTGAGCTTCAGATTTATTTGCCTCCTAGAAGGGAAATAAATAAGTTTATATCCATTGGCTTTGAAATGCTGCTTGAAATTGTATGGCTGTTCTGCTACTGCAAGAGAAGGAGAAAATGCCTAACTTCATTGTCTTGTTTATTCATGCATACACCGCTTTCAAAGTTCGAATAGGTTCCAGTGTGCTTCATTTCAGCTGAGCAGACTTGCTTGTTTGTGCCCCCTTCTGCCCCTTCACACCAGCTGATCATTCTGGAGCAAACGGTGGGCTGCACAGACCTCCAGAGAGCTCAATTTATATGGAGTTTGAAGGAATACTGTTTGTTCTAATATGTAAGGAATTCCATATGCATTTCTCACTACCAGCTAGCATCTCTTGTTCTGGCTGTTGGGAGGCACGAAAAATACTTTTCTTTAATAACTCATGTTTGCATTATTCCTGGGAAACCAGTCACTCAGATGGAGAAATTCTCAGTAGATATTTCTCTCACAGCTGCAGTGCTAAGCTCTTACCATTTACACACTAACTAATGTGCCTGTGGATATGGTTTGTGCTGCTGCTGTTTGTGGTCATCCTGCTGCTTTTGTTGGGGGCTTTTCTCACATACAGGGCTTAAGAGAAGGCAATGCCAAAGACATGAATTAAGATGAAGCAAAAGGTAATATAGTTGGCAACTTCCCTTCAGCAGACTGTTCCTGTTCTGCAACAAGCCATGTTGAGAAAGCCCTGTTTTCTGTACAGACGAGCGTTAGCATTATGCTAACCTCAGTCTGTTGACAGTGATGCTCGTCAGGGATCTTGAGGCAGTCTTTCAGGTATACTGGTCCAGACCATTTAAAGATTAAAGGGTCTTGAACACTGAACGTAACGTCATGGTCTTCTATTCATACAGCTCAACTGCCCCTGTAAATGTCTGCCGCTTTGCAAAGTTGGTGTGTGATAAATGATGTTGAACTAACTGCAAGAAACTTTATTATCAAATGCACTTTTAGTGGATTTCCCAAATTTTTCCGTAGCAACAGCTGTCAGAAAGGCATGATGTGCAGTCCTGCATCATTTTAACACTCTGGGGAGTTTTTCTTCCTTTTTACCAATACTTCCATGAGACCGAGAGAATGTGAGAACAAAAACATTAAAATCTTCCATAAAAAAAAAAAAAAAAAAGAGAAATTGCTACATAGATTAAAGATAATATCAAGCATGTCAGGAGAGCACACTAAAACCTAACATAAATATTTCTGAAATGTAGATTATTAGTAGAAAACCTATCAGCATGGGACTCCTACACATACTTGCATTAAGAAAGCAGCAAGCTACAGCACAGCTGTACAAACTGCCATTCCCAAGCTAGTGCTGTAACTCTGTACTAGTAACAGAAAGCAATGATTGGTTTCACAGCACTCTGGACTAATGCAAGCACTGTCTGATACAGTTCTTGGTTGGGAGGGACAAACTAAGCAAAACATACGTGCTTCTAATGTAATCCTTTTTCACTACAGCCTCTAAAGGTACACATCCAGAAAAAAAAGAAAATCTTAAATCTTAACATAACAGTGAGCTACGCTGCAAGAAATAAGCACTGCTCACAGTGCTTTGAACATATATGTTTAACACCTGAAGCAAGTGGAATTTGCACAACAGCATCTTCCATGCAAAACAGAATAGATTTTTAACTGTAGCAGGCTGCAGAAGAAAACCAAGAAGTCAGAGAGCTCTCACCATAGCTATTTCAACACAGATACGCAGCAATTTACAAAGCAAAAAATGGAGAGGGAGAATCAAGAAAACCACAACTCCCTCTCAAGGGCATCTGCAGAACAGATTATTTGAGATATGCTAGAACTGGTTCATCTTTTTATGCTACTTAAGCTTTTACTGCTTCTTCATAGAGAGACAGTTTAGAGCACATGCAGCAAAACTGCATGATTTTTTAAGCCTGTCTCTGGGGAGAAGGTGTGTCACAAAAATGCCTCTTAATAACCCAAATGAAAACAGTACTTCAGACTCACCCATTGATTTCATATTCTTTGAAATGAAATCTACTGATTCAATTTCCAAGTAATAGTTGCTCTTTAAAAAAGGAAGGAAAATAATCACTATTCAAAGGCCAAGCACTCTTTCAAAACTTATTTTTTTAGATCCTTACCTTGCAGCCTTCACATGTAATGACACCATAATGGATTCCTGATGATTTGTCTCCACAGATCTTGCATGGAATAATTTCAATTTGAGCTGCAACAGAAGCACACAACCAGTTAATTACATTTTCTTTTAAACACCTTATAAAAGCATTCCCTGATCAGCATTTGTACAGTGAAAACTAATAACCTGCTAAACATTATACTGCATTAACTATTCATTGCTGAACTCCAAGGGTCCCCTAGAGCTTTGGACTAAATTATGGCTGCTCATTATATAATAGCTTTTGGGTTATTAAAATGGGTCATTTGAGAAGGTGTTTAAGAACCCACAAGAAGGCTGGAATCAGCATTTCAAAGCCAAAAAGAGTCAGAGAGTTCACATTTTGGCCAAAGAGCTGGGAAGACACTGGAGTGGTTTCTTCCAGTCTTAACTCTGGCTGTAGCAGGTAACTTTCAAGTTTGTCCTTCCTGAAAATGAACGTAACTTCTTTACCAGAGAAGTCTTGATCATGCCATCCAGCTCACATGACTGGCCAACACAAAAGAGAAGCACCACGGTAAATAGTAACTGTATTTTACACAAGAATTCCAAAATTCAAATAGCTACACTGAATAATCAGTATGCATTTGTATATTAGCTCCCACAGAGCAAATGGGGGCAAAAACACAGCAGTACTCTATTCAAAACACAGGAAACAAATGAAATTACTTCGTCTTGAAAATGCCATAGAAAGACACGATAGGAAAGCTCTGATTTTTATTTTTTCCAGATTTCATATATATATGTAGCATATGTGATATTCTAGGGAATATAGCATATGTAGTTCAGTTTACTGTGTGATAAAACTCTTTGTATGTATGTCTAAATCACAACTCCTCAGGAATATCTCTTCAGCTGCTTGTTCAGCACATCACTGAAGTCATTTTGCAAGCCAAGTATCTTTTATATAGCATCATACCAAGGCATTAGTTTATAATACCAAAGACCAACAGTCAACATTTTACCTACGCTTGCATGTGCTCTCACAAGCATACAGAGCGTACATACCATGTAGATAACAGAATCCTAAGAATGCACTTCCTGTCTTGCAACTGTGTTGGGTTGGGCTATATTAATTTTCCTGAACCAGATTACACTGAAAAGGAATACAAACACAACTCTAGCTATGTTTCTCGCTGTGTGATTTATTAAACATCAGAAGTGCAGTTAATCTCCTGCGAGGAACTGAAATCCATTCTCAAGATGCTTGATTGCCTCAGAGAGCCTTTATTTCATCCAGTTTATGGTTATCCAGACTGTGACAACACATAAAATCACATCTAAGATAATGCATTAGCTTAGCCTTGCTGTACTCTCAACAAGGCATTCAAAAAGTCATGTCCACTCTTTGAAACACTGTATTTTACATGCCATTAAATCCCTAACCAACTGCTTGTTGTTAACAAGAATCATCTTATTATAACAAGAATAATCTCCTAGTACTTCTCTGTGCTTCACTTCACTGCAGCACAACACCATAGCTCCAGGTCAGGCCAAATCAGTAGACTGCACAGCACTGACTGTGCTAAAACACTACTTCAGAATATTCTCCAGACTGCATCAAATGCAGTGAACAGATCACCTAAGTAGAAGAAACCCATTTGTTCCTAAGAACCTAATAGCATCTGAAATGCTCTGCTGAGGAAAGCAGTACCCAACAGCCAAGGGACTACGGTGTTGTTTGCCTGGTATTTTCATATCAGCAGCTTTCAAAATGTTTTTGTAGTACAAGACCCCACTCCACTCACATCTGCTTCCGTCATAAAGATTTTTGCATTCTTGACATTGAATCCCACACCCTCCTTGCAGCGACAAAACAAAAGGCTGAGATTAAAATGTCTGTTTAGGATACTAAAGTAAACAAATACTTCTGCCTTGCAGTCCTCTAAAAAGTGTTTTCATTTCACCTTGCTCTCAGCTAACACATTAAATAACATGAAGCAGGAAGGGAAATAATAAGAGGGTGAAAAAAAAAGTGTAAGTTATTTTATTAATTTGTTCCATGCATTAATTATTAGTAGTGCATCATATGTTTACAAACAGATCTTATGAGCAGAAAGGGGAGTATAACTCCTCTTCCATCACTTAACATCACATTACCAAATTGAGTAACAGACTGAAATTCACTGAAGTTCAAAATTTGTGCAACGTAAAGTTCAGATTCAAAGAGAAATCCCATGGGTAGGCTCTGGAATAGATCTGTTGATTCCCAGTTATGCTTATTCAATCTCTGTTTTTCTACTCTGCTACAGGAAATCACTGGCCTTCTCCAACTCCACTGCCAGCGCAGTAGTGATAAAGCTCACCTGGACAGCTACATGGTAATATATTTGTTCACAATTCGCTTTTATATACATAATTACTGCCTTATTACGAGGAGGTATGATATAATTGGATCTTGTTTATCTACAGTCTCCAGCATATTAGCTAAATCACCCATGAAGCCTGTCTATGCAATCTCCGTCTCTTAAGCAACAGGAGATTTGCAGAGTATTTCTGAAGGAATGTAACATGCCTTCAAAGTCATGGCCTAAAGCTAGCTCACTAATAGTCTAAAAGGTGCAATAATTAGTCCCAAATGCATTTGCCAGGGTGTGTTATTGTTGGAAGAGAATCTACACACATTCACAGTTTCCATCTCTGTCAGTATGTGCTGACCACTGGCCATATGAGCAGCAACACAAAATCCAGAGTCATTTTAGAATTCCAAATTTCCTAGAGCTTACTGCACCTTCAAGGTACTCACTTTCAAGAGCACACAGCATTTACAACTACAACTTAATGTTTCACTTCGAGGTACAGAACAGTGGGATGAAATTCAGAAGCATAAATTACTTGGGACTGCCACAACCAATTGTATTACAAATTAATGCATGGAAAGACATCAGATCAATTACTGCTCTACGTGGCTGCCTTTGCAAATCAGCTCATTGAAATGGAATCTCTGTCACAAGTTCATACACTTTCCATATAGCATGAAAGGACTTAGATACTTTAAACTTACTAAATGCAAATTGCCTCTGCCAAGATTATGCATTTTTCTTATAAGGGTGAAAATATTTTCCCCACTTATAACTTTGACATGCAAATATGTACTTGCTAAAACCTTGTTCTTATGCAAACAAGGCAGGTGGGAAATATTTTTACATGTCAAGAATATGTTCCAACTTGGTTTCTCACATTCCCTGAGTTACTTAGAGCTTCCTGCCGAGTTCAAATTAATTGTACCTGTTCTGTGCTTACATATATTTATACAGTATGTTTTCCAAGATTGTATAAAACACTGTAATTCATGTTTTAGACTAGAATTAGCCTAAATTACAGTTTACAGTTTCTGTCTCCAGAGGTGGTGCTCAGGCTGTTTCTGGTTCATGCATGACCAAATTATTTCTTAAATATCAAATGCAGAAAAAAATAAACTCTTGTGGTTGCTTAGAAACCGCTAAGATACCCAGGTGACAGATGTCATTTGTATTTCTAGATTAAAGGCCTGAGAATCTTTCACACCCTGAAATAACAGTGCTCCACAATACTCCCAGTGATGTCCTCTGCCAAAGGCAGTAATGAATAGGAAGAAAGGACCAAACAAGAGCAGCAAATACTTAAAAAACTTAAGCACAAAGACCAACCTCAAGCACTGAACAAATTGCTAGAGAAATAGCTTATGAGGAAAACAAGCAGCCAGTGAGGGCCAAAGGCAGTTGAGTATCAGAGGTAGTAATTGCTATGAACTCATGTCAAACACCAGGCAAACTAGTCTTACAGTGAAAGGAATCTACATCCATTGAGACCTCTCTATGTATGTGATTTTAATATCATGGACATGTCCAGCAGCCTCCAAGAAATATAGCTGTAGTACTGTTTGTCTGCATTTTACAACAGGAAAACTGAATGCAGACTCTTTGGTCTGGTCATTATCGGACAAAATGGTAACGTGAGCCCAAGCACTGCAAGGGAAAAAATGTTTTGTCCACTGAACTATTCTTCTTCCTTCATCTATTGTGTCTTTACCTGGCAATTTTCTTAAGTAGCTCTGGTATGCTTAAATTACATGATTATCTCCGCCTAATTCCTAGTGACCATGCCTACCAGACAACCAGAGGGAGAACTAAACAACATCTTTTGTTGACGTCTGTAACAGAAGAATTTCCCTTATTCCTTCCTACTCCAGGCTTCACTTCTTTCCCTTCCCTGGGCTTGCCTGCCATTTTCAGTCTATCCCCAACCAACCCCTCCAGACTGCCTCTCCCTTTTTACTAATTATCACATCATGAAATGCTGCTTTGTTGTTTCTCTGGTTTAAGCAATAGCAGGAAAACGAATTCTGCATTGATAAGGAAATGTTCTGTATGAGTTCATTGTAACAGTTCCTTCCTTTCTGATTACTTGAGCAGACTTCAGTCAGGACAGGGCACTGTACAGCCAGGTAAAGCAAGGAGCATCCTTCTCCCCAGTTCTGACATTTAAGTAGAAACACACAGAGCCTCAACAGAGGAAAACATATTATCAGTTCACTCGGAGGAAAACACTTTTCAGACACCTAATTAAGGTGTCTGAATGGTATGTTTGTTTCTGGTGAAATATTTGTCTAGGAATTTATATATATATATATATATATATAAATACATATATAAAATTCCTCCTCATGTTTTCCCAGTGTTATTTTAAAACTGTAAGTTCACACCGATCATGTTATATTTTCCACTTTGGAACAAGTATGAAACCTCAGGTTTGGTTTCTTGGGAAAGACTTTCAGTGCAAGCAAAAATTGGTCCCATTCTTTCATGTCAGGTGAGATTCACCTAGCTGACCTGAGCTATCTAGAAGGTCAGGTAATTAGCTCACGTCATTGTGTTGGCTGCTGCTAGAGTCATGAGGAAAGGAGAAGGAAAAAGAATGGGAGGAAGCAAGATAGAGAAAGCGAGAGAAGGGGCATGATTCATCTCACACAGGAGAAGCGAAATGAACCCCTAAGTGGAGATGCCTCCTCTTCAATCACCAGAAGTAATTTACTGATAACTAAATTACAAGCCTAACTTTTAGAATGTGAAAGTTAGGTGCATTCTACTGCCTCTTTCTAATTCTGCTTCTGTTTTCTGAGTTAAAAACAGCATTATCTGGAAGGAAAATTGATGTAGGCTGTGCTCCGTTTCCCATCTGCAGTACCTACAGGGCTAATCACCTCGGTGCACTGACACTATTCAGGTAGGAGCACCCCCCCTTTCAGCTCTCCAGATACAGTATGAAGAAATTCCAGGTGTATACCCTCTTTTATCACTCAGTTAAAACTGAAGCTTCTTCTCGTTAGTCTGTCAGACTGGACTTGAATTCTTAAAAGCTACGTGTTTGGGCACTGAGCATCCCTCTCAGATGGTGAAAGCACCATGATTGGAATTGCTGGCTGAACTGAACACTCTGCTCAAGGCTAGATGTGGCGTGCAGTCAGGACAGGAGTTGGGATCTCCTGAGTCTTGAGGTACTGCTTGAGTAGTTATCCCTTCTTTTGCTTCAAGAAAATTTAAATTGCCCTTCCTGAATGTGGCTTACACATCTCTCGCTTCAGAGGGCATGCAGAACTTTGCAGCTAATTCAGAAGGGCTTTGAACAAAATATGATACAAACACAAATTGGGCTAACTTGCTTCTAAAGAGATGCAGTCTGTGCCAGACGACATTGCTAGTGCTGTTTGTAAGTATATTGATTAAATTAGGAGGCATACATATTCACTGACATATTCATACATATTCATTGACTCAAACAAGGGTACTGCATGTAATGTGGTATTTAAAGCAACATAATATCTGATCACAAACTGAATTAACAAGGAATGATTTTACTATATAATATTCTAATCTTCCTGCATTTTCAGCTTCATTACCTAAATAATTTGCTCTGTCATGTACCCTAAGTAATTTGAGCTGGCTGCAAATTACTTGCCTCTGAACACCTGCAGCTTACAAACACTGCAGTTCCACTAAACTAAAAGCTAGTGGCAGCACAGCTCTGCCCATTCCATTAATACGTTATGCTAAGTGACCATCTGTCCACTCATATATATTAAAATATTTAAAGCCTGTGTACTTCTAAGGCTGACATCTGGTTGGTAGATGTCTGAGGCACTTTTAGAACACTGTTTTGATCAATAGCTGATGGAGACAAGCTCTATTTCTTTTTTTTTTTTTTTTTTTCTGTCTGTTCCTTGCATGAAAGGTCTGTTTATTCTATGTGTAATCCTCCATGTAATGGCATTCTGGCCATGAGCAGGACTGCTGGATATTGTGGTGGTGTAGCTAGTAATAAGTCATTCCTGTGCAGAAATTAAAAAACCTGCTATCCTAGCAATCTCTGTCTCATGGTTGGATTTTCTAGTGTCCAGTAAGGTTAAAATCACAGCAGCTTTCTCAGCTGTACAGCTTCTCTCAGGGGAGCATTACTAGGCTGTCTTTCTTCAATTGTCACACAACTTGCAGGAGCACCTCTTTGGGATTGCCAATTCTCTCCAGCTTACCAGAGGTTCAAAATTGTTTTGGAAATGAGGAAGACCGGGGTGATGGGCAGAAAACTAGACAAACACAACAACCTCTCAAAGCCTCGTTTCCTTAGGAAATCACGCTAATAATAAAACGAAATAAACAGAGGGGTTATACTGGTATGAATCCTTTGAAGCCCGTGGGTGTGATGGGTGGAGCAGAAACGAACACGGCCAGAGTACTAATTAAAAGTAAAGTATGAGCAACACCTCAAACACACCAGGCAGAAATGCTGCAATGCCAAGGCTAGATCTTTGGGCCTGAACACAGCTGGATCCCCACTTAGTAGGCCAATTGATAGAGTGCAGCACTCCATAATGCTAAAAACATTCTGCTTCAGAAAGTATTAAATGAGATGCATGATAAATAGCATGGAACAACAACATGAGTCCCTTGGGGCTTGTAAGACTAACTTTTAGGAATAAATCTAAATTCTTTCAACCTTTGTTACTGATCTGGACACGTCAAAGAGAACAGTGCAGTAAGAGCTCATGTTCTTATGCTGGGATCATTTACACTTTTGCTTATTGTTCTACTTCAAACTTGGAAATTTTACTTGAACATTTTAAATGGAAGAACCTCAGCTTGCTATTACATTAAGCATGGGCTTCAGCAAAGACACCTGAACACATAATGACAGGAGGTTCTATGGAAAATAGTTCAGGATCTCTAATAAGCACAGCTATTCCTGTGAAGTTGTTGCGGTGAGATCTCTGCATTATTAATGTTATATTAAAATGAAAAACTCTTGAGAAAAACTTTAATAGACCATCAAAATATTCTTAACCTCC